ATTACGCTCTCTTATAATTACGGCAGAGAAAACGTGCAGTCGCGGAATTTATCCGCGTGGGGGGGAAAATCTTCGAGCAGTGGGGGGGAGGGATCTTTTTGAATTTTTTCTCTCTCGTAGAATCGCTTATGTTTTGAAAGAAAGAAGCATATTTTTGAGACTGCGTACAGAGCGGCCGTACCAGAGCCGTTCCGCATTCATATAGGTTCCGGCACGGTGTTGGAACGGCGCTGGAACGGCGTTGGCACACCCGGGCGACTTTGAACGCAATCCGATTTATCTGTTTTATCTTTTCATCAACAGTCGTTTTCTTAAAATCTTACCTTTCTTCACTTCTCTTCATATCTTTCAGGGGAAAGTTCGGCACGTTATAGGGAGGGATAATTTTCTTAGACTTTTTCGTCTAGATTTCATGGACCTCTTTCATGAAGGTAAATTCGTGAGGCTGCGTACATGCTGCCCGTGCCAGCGCCGTTCCGCTCCGCATGGGTTCCTACACGGTATTGGATCCCCACTGGAGCGACGCCGGCACAAAGCTAATTATAGCCGCAGCCTGAGCTACAGTCGAGTAGATTTAGCGGTAAATATAGTGTGCTTGCACAGAGGGTGAAATGCGGTATAATTGGCGCGTGAAGAAATAGTTTCGACTGTGACGCCGGCCAATTGCGCGCGCAAGATACCCGCGGTACTGACGTGGCTACTTGTTCACGCGCAAATTTCATTTCACCTTCTGTGCAAGCACACTATATTTACCGCTAAATCTACTCGACTGTACCTACTCCTATTCTATTCGTTAACATCGCCGCTTTTTTTTCTCGAAAAGCTTTCTCTTCTATTCTCCCTCTAATTTTTCCAGTTTGTCCGAAGACATTCTGATTGTCGATCACCAGAACAAACAGCACTGCACTTTCTGTACCCTCGATGGATGTGTCTAGCTTGGTGTTGTTGCCGGAAAAGTCCCCTTCCGGAGATGTGTCTGCCCCAATCATGTCGGAAGAGAAAAAACCAAAAGCCAAAGAGCTTTGATTTGCTTTTAGCTCTCGCGGAGTTGCGCTGATATGTGACACTTTCGAGCCGCGGCTTCTCATGACTCTTCATGCATTTCCGAGATCCGTTTGTCGATAGCGTCGTCGTCGTAACTTACCCTCGTTGGGTAAAGCTTTCGTAAGCTTCTTACTTATGATAGGTCCTGCTTTTTGCCAAATTTTTGAGGATTTTTTATTTCTTTTATCGGCCTGAAGAGCTTACTACAGTCATGAATTTGCGTCATAGTTGCTATACCTGGCTTGTTTAAAACAATTTTGCTTGCATAAAATTTGTGTTCTCTCCATGCATTTCACTTTTTTGACAAAAAATGAAATTTCCAGAAAAGCATAGGAACGCTAGTTGTACCAGTTGCTGTTGGTAACCGATATGCATTTAGCTGTACCTTGATTTACATCGATTCCGGACATTCTAACTTGCACTTGGGGTCTCAAATCTTTTTCTGTGAATTAGAGAGAGTACAAAAAATCAATTTTCGACATGCTTCTGATATTTTTAGCAGGCCTACCTCCGCGAACTTATAGGAATTGCTAGGTTTAATAAAAATTTTTATAAAACTGCAACATGATATTGAGTAACAACTCAATTGGGGAAGCTCTAAACTATCCAGTAAAATTACAAAAAATGAAATAACTCTTGTGGTCCCCTTAGAAAACCCTTTCTTTGTCCACCCCTCTCCACCCGCCCACTTTTCGTCTGTCTGTGATTTTGAAAAATTGTGTTCTGTAAATTGGTAGAAAATGCACGTAACACAAATCACTCTCACTGTTGGGATTACAAAATCATAGGTTTCTCGTTCTCGCATCTATCAATTTTTTTCTTATATAACTTTTCTCGTATTGATCTCCATTATTCTCATATATTTGAAAAGAAGATACTTTATTGTATAAGTATAAGAAGATATTTCTGAACCAACGTCGGTAACGCGGCGGAGAGCTACCTTCTACAAAATACTTGTAATTTCGGTTTTTCTACATCACGTCAACCCAAATCATTATATAATTCATACCACTGAAATATGCAAAGCCCAACTGCGTTTAGGCATGCTGCTTTTGTTTATTTCTCAATCCACTGAAATCCTGCGATAACTGGTGGGATTCCGAAGATTCTTTCGAGTTTTTGCTTTTTATTTCCTCCAACTCCCTCTAAACACCAACACAAAGCTTGTCTGTTTTTTCTCTTTGCTCTTGTGTTTCCAAAAATTCGTGTTCGCCGGCTGTAAGATGACCGCTGGTCCCATCCATTCTTGAAATTGTTTGCCCAAGCGCTGAATGTGCACGCATACGGCCTTATAGCTCGTGCATCGATTGGCTGATCTTGGTTTGAATTCTAACTCTCGTTTATACTTACTTTCCAATAGGATGAGTGTGTGTTTTTGTGTATGTACGTACTTTTGAAAATCACGCAAACATGCACATGTAGTATTTCTTTGTGGCTGTCAATCAAGCCGCTAGTGTTTGGTTAGGTGGGCGAGACGTAAAGCGCAGTTGTTGTCCGAAATCTTGTCTGCGTTGGCTCTCAGCCACACTTAGCTGATCTTTGTCAAGCATGCTTTGTTTTGGACAAGCGATTTTTTGGGAGGGGGGGGGGGAGAGAGAGTGTGGGGAGTGGTCCGAACTATGTTTCTTTAGTTATCAGTTTTATCGATAATTTTTTGATCTCAAAAATTTCTCGATGTGCTTACAAAAATGTTGGGAAATGAGGGGCCCAATTTACATCAGTGAGTATACTTCTTGGACCACTTAGGGCAGCAGGAAGGAGAGGGAGGGGGAGAGCGAAACTGGATGTGAATTTTATGTGTTTATAAAAGAAAATTTTTCCAAAAATTTTAGGATGTGACTTTTGGTCCGTCCCCCCCCCCTCCCTTCCTCCACGCGAAGGATATCAGCGGAATTGTCGCTAGTCATAAAAAAATTTTTTTGCGGAGCTGTTCTGGATTTTTCAATATATTTTAGTAATTATACACTTATTTACAGGTAAAAACAAGTTTCTTGCACAATTTTGCAACCCACTAGCTTCTTTCAAAATCTTGGCCCATTCTCGCTTCCTTCCCCCCTCTTCTTGTTGATTTATTGTAATCACGACAAAGGAAATTGATGAAGAGTTTTCCAGCTCTCTCTTTTTATTTATTCTAAGCATTTATTTTATTTTTTATTTCACTCAACTTTGGCATTTCCCCAGTGCGCCTTTTGTAAAGGAATAAATTTTCTTTTGAGCCAGTTTATTGACTCTTCATCCTGAAAATTTTCTTCTTTTTTAACATTTGACGCATGAAAGAATAGATGCCGTTGAAAACGTCAAATAGTCTGTATTCTTGGATAGAGAGGGGATCAAATTTCTTGTTGCCTCATTTCCAAATGGGTATTGACAGTAGTCAAGAAATTTTGAGTTTTTGCAAATTTTTGGGATTATTATTATCCATAATATTATAATTTGACTTGAAGAAAAAACAAGTCTGAACTGGTTAATTACGCGTTTTCAATGAACTCTTTTGACTCTCGGAGTAGACGATATGTCAGCTGTCGTAGTTCTTGTGCAAATGCACATTTTTTACTAGAATAATGTCACGAAGATTACTCATGCTTGACTCGTTCCGTGTTTACCCCTTAGTCACACTTCTCTTTCGACCTTCGCAAACACCACAAAATAAACTCGATACCCTTGACAATTGACTTGTTGAGTGCTATGATTATTGTTTGAGGGGTAGGTGGAGGGAGGAGGAGGAAGAATTTTTGCGACGCTTAAATATGGCCGACTTATCGCAGACACACATAAAATCCGCATATGCATCGCAGTAAACAGATCAGGATGTTTGTCGGTCCGATTACGGCATAAGTCATTTGTTTATGGGCCTAAGTGTGGCCCATATCTATATGGGAATGCGGGAACGGAATGCATTCATCCATTCATCATCATCCATTGCTTATTCAGTCATTCTTTCTTTTTCCCTCCTTTATCTTCTTTCGTTGACTTATTTATTGATTAAATTGGCTATAGATCACAATATGAACTAAAACGCAGGCATCGTCTTGTCAGATTATGTCATCGCACCCTATAGTTACGGTAGGTATACGGTAAGGGTAAGGAGCTTACTCAGCTTGTGTAGCTTGGACGCGTTTTCCTATAAGATTAATTTATGTATACAGAAAAAAAATCAGTGCTGATTCAATTTCATTGCAAATAAATAAGCGCAAAGTTGCTATGGCACAAAAAAATCTACCTATCTGCGCATGTCAGTCCACGCTTTTTTGTCCCTCATCTGCGACTTAGAGGCATCGTTCACCGCGTCGCTTCTACGGGCGCAAATTGTTCATTGTCTGCGGCGGTAACTCAACCGAGATTACCCTCTGCGAAGATAATAAAAAAAAACTAATCGTCAGGAAAATTTTCGTTGCTGATCAGGTTTTTATCTACTTTATCGCACTGGCAGTAATCTCTTCTAGATCAGCTGAACGAATAAAATACAATAATTGTCAAGTATCAGAATTTTGTTTATTGATTTTTCTTGCAAATATTGCAAATATTGACATTGATTGCATTGATTGCAAATAAGACAGCTCGAAGTTGCTATGGCAGAGCAGACCTCCTTGTTTTCATCGCTTTTCGGATTGCCGGATTTCTTTTTTTTTTCTGAGCTGAGTCTATGAAGGAGAAAGCGTGACGTATCTATAGCATATTCTCTTTTATTTTTATGCCCTTCATTCTCGCAATATTTATCCATCAAATTGCAAAGTATGTAATATTTCTTCACCTTCGCTATTTCTTCATTTAATATTGCATGATGCACTCCAATGGTGCTATATGATGATGTGAATAATGTTGACTTGTACTTGGAACATTCATAATTTGTCATTCCTATCAAATTTCACTTTTGTTTTGTGCAGTTGCGAAATTACATAGCGCTTAATGTCTGTTACTTGGTTCTATCCCTTTAACTGAATGAGTTGTGTTCCAGAATGTTCGCTCAACTTTGCCTTGCCGTTACTGTTGTTGGAATCGCTCTAGCCGCTGATATTCAACGTGAAACGAAAAATGCTGTAAATGAAGTCACAACCACTAAAGTAAGTATCTATACTTGGCAAATTCCAAAACGTTAAGCTGTCTCAAAAGAAAGCCTTTTTCTAAATAATTTAAACATTTTTATAGTAGACTTGAGGTATAGCATTTGATAAAGCAAAGCAAGCTTTACAGAATGACCAGCAATGGTCCATCCTAAGTCTCAAAATTCAGCTGAAGTGGGAAGCTAAACTCGAAAAGATTGCGTCACCTGAAAATGAAATTTTTGCGAATGTGAAGTTCAACGGTCCAAATTGGTCAATAGGCAGTAAACGCAGTAGTACTCAATTACGCCTACTGGATTTTTTCGGCGCATAGAGCGAGAAAAAAAATATAGTCCAAAAATGGCAAACTCTAATCACGGCTCCTCCACTTATGTCGTTGTATACTACGATCCTTGATAAGTATATTAAAATTTCACCTCTGACGCCTAGTGATAGAGAAATACCAAATCAAGCATAAAAACCAAAAAATGGCTTTTTGCACTTTTGGGCTTTAACTCATTTGAGCCATAGAAAAAATCCACTAAGTAGGCTGTTGCATGACGAAGGCGCAATACCCTTGGGCGCGAACGCTGCTTTATTAGCCGCAGAGCGCATAAGGCGCAGGATTTACAACGGTGAAAATACGCGCGCACCGAGTTCGCGCCCGCTCAACTAATACTGCTATTGCGCCTTCGTCATGAAGTAGCCTTTGATTTTGAGTAATCTATGCGTCTACCATATAATAACCAAGTTTGGAAATTCTCTCAAAAGAGATCCGATTTTTAGGGCACTTAAAAAATCTTGGTTTTTGACTTCAAAATTTTTTCTGGGTTACAATCGGGCTGATCCATGGGGTCATTTCAAAAAGCGTGCTTCGCTCTATTGAATGGTACCCTAGGTCTGCTAGAAAAACAAAAAAAACCAAAAAGAACAGAAATCAGTCTGCTAGGCTTGATTTCTTGCAAAAAAAGAATTTATTTTTGGGACATCCTAAATGTAATCTAATGGCTGGATGGAATGTTTTCAATAGTGATCTTCACTCAATGACAAACAATGAGTCCTCTCCAATTTCATTTAGAAAATTGGTACATTATAGATAACGTAATTTTCCTATCTGTAGACGTTTCGAGGACATTCACGCTTGTCCAGTTTTTTTTTAAGAAAAAAATTTCTTTAGCTATTGGTGCTAAAATTTAAGGCGAAGTAGAGTTTAGAGTAGTCACATTGATGTGCCTATAGAAAGTGTATCATGTTCATACTTGCATTCCCGTAAAGTTGCAGCTTTTTGAATTTTTTCACAAGGTGTAAAATGCCGCTTCTCTGCACATCAGCCATGTGTTTCCACTACTCTCACACATATGTTTGTCCGTGGCCGATGGCCAGTTCTGACCGATGATATAGCGGCTGAGATTTCGAGGTCCAAAGCGCGAGGATCATTAGCTAGAGACACATTCAGGGTGGAATAGACTCAAAAACCGATAAAAGCCTGCATTTTGCGCCTCTCTGGGGAGCATTGGCTTTGTGTGTCGTCATGCACAAGGACAACTTTTGTCAAAAAATCTAGAAAAAATCATGCGAAAAAACCTAGAAAGGGGGGGGGGGGATATAAGGATCCATGCTAGCTTTCTGATGTCTTTTCAAAAGCCATACTGTGGAAGTGAGCAGTGTCTAATGCAAAGCAAAGTTGGGTACTTGAGCGGGGGGGGGGGGGAAGGAGGAAGGAGTTGGAAACTAATTGGGAAGCCCCAAGTAGGTTCTTATCCAAGCGACAGCTCATATGATTCATTCGTGCCCAGGAAACCCAACTTGTATCAACTTTCGCCCACTACCGTACTCCATATCTCTGATTGGCCCTTGAAGGGGCCAGATATGCCTAAACGCTGCCTTTAAGTAGATGTCGTTTAGTGGTCAAATTTTCTTCGGAAAAAAACTATGATGTGAACCGGTTTGGGCATGATGAGCCTCGTCAAACTACCGTAAATCACCTGTCATTACCGTTTTAGTACGAATAATTATAGGACGGTGATCTGTACTGCCCCGTACCAATTGTCGGTACCAAATGTCCGGAATCATCCGTGTTCCACTACTACAAATGCTGTGGAGATCTGAATAAGGACTGTTGCTTCAACTTGCAGGTTCGTTATAGTTTTTTGATTGATAAAAAGCAAATGTAGTAGTTTCATAAGACGGGCTTATAGAAGGTCCAATATTCTTAATTATTTCACTATTTACTGAATTGTTGATTGCGCAAAATTGTGCTTTCATTTCTGGAAAAACGATTCTATAACTACAACAATTATTTCTACACTTTCTCATTTTGATAAGAAACTATAAGGATTTATAGCTCGCAAGAAATAATTAGCCATGCAACATCATATCACTCCTTGCTATCACCTTGCTTGCGGTGTGTACAATCCCCCCCCCCCTTCACCAACAAAGGTCGTGGTTGATCGCAAAAGCTAGAATAGGCCATTATTCGCTTTTTCTTCTCCCACCCCCCCCCCCCCTCTGCTCCAAAACGGTCCAAAACGTTTTAAAAATCAATTACGAAACTCTAAATATTAGGTTTTCTAAAAGTTTTGTCCGTTTTCTTAAACAACTATAAAGCCAGACACAATAAAGATCTGAATAAGCTTCAACATGCATTCGATGCAGCTTTTCCTTCTCTTTCTTACGGATACATTTTCGAACCATAATCTTGTATGCTTTCTTTGATAATTGCCAAAATTCTTCACACGTCAATCTTATCTGCTCAAAGTTAGGCTAATTTTTGAAAATTTAATTCCAAAGTTTCGGAAATATTTGAGTATGGATCAAATAGAGCGATTCTCGGACTACAGGAATGTATTTTTATATTCTCTTAATGTGCTGTTTTTAGCTTTAAAAGAATTATTTCTTCAGAGGTCTCGATTTTTGGCGAACTCATGAAACACGCAACTGCCGCAAATACACGAAAGCAATTGAAGTTTCTGCGAATTGAAACATGATTCTTATCAAACATGATTTATTTAACATAACCAGGTTTGGTTTGCTTTAAAAAAGCAGCTTTTTGGAATTTTCGATACTTTTACATGGTAAACGTAATCAAAAAGGCGCGGTTTTTATTAAAATAACTATACCGGACTTGATAAGCGTCGCATATGTAACCTAAAACGGATACAGTGTAGCCAAAGATTTGCTCTACATACCGGTTATCAACGCTCTCTGAAAAAAACATCAGGATAGAAATTTTTGAAATTCGAGAAAAATTTGGCGTTACTGCTGAGCTGCTTGAAAAGCCATGGCGAAGCAAAGGCAGGGTAGATCAGAGAGCAAATACAGCTGTAAGTAAGAGGATAGAAATCTTAATCAAATGGTACCTACATCGTCCATCGATTGGTGTTCAGTGAGTTTTAGAGAGCGATGAAAAAACGGACAAAACTTTCGGGCCAACCTAATACTGTGCACACTTGCATACGTGATAACTCGTCCTTTCTCTGCTTTTGAGAAGGATCCAGATTTTCAAGGAAAAAATTCAATGCACAAAATTAGAATATGCCTGCCTTTTTTGCTCCCCCGTGTCGTCTCCAACCTGTCAATCCTTCCTGAGCTCTCAAAACTGGTTTGCCTAAAAATGACAATCCTTTAAAGGCAGCGTCCAGGCAAATCTGGACCTATGGGGCTCTCACGTAGAAAGTAATCTTGAGGCCCTAGATAAGACTTTGCCCAAGCGGCAGCTCAGATAGTGCACTCACGGCTAAGATATTGGGCTCCAAACTATGCCCCATGACCGTATTCGCATGGATTCGTGGCGCTTATGAGGATCCACGCAAAACTGAGCCGTGCCATGAATCCACACGAATACGGTCATGAGCATAGTTTGGAGCCCAATATCTTAGTTGTGAGTGTACTATCTGAGCTGCCGCTTGAGCGGAGTATTTAGGGCCTCAAGGGTTTCCACGTGAGAGCCCCATAGGTCCAGATTTGCCTGGAAGCTGCCTTTAAGAAGAAAATAGATGCGCTGGAAATTGAAATATCATGCAGTGGATGCATTTTTAATCCTAGAATTCATGTTTTATACAAATTGCGAAGGCAGTAATGAATGAATGTACACACCTAATTCTTCACTTCCATTTTTCAGCGTAAATGTACCAATAAATCCAAGTTATCTAGGGCGAAAAATGCATCCAACATGCATTCTCTTCAAATTTCTTTAAATACCCCCTGAAAAAGTAAACGAATAGTAATAGCCAGTAGCCAAAATATCTCCCTTTGAAGAAGTTTTTCCTAATGGTGCTTGACGCGAGGACATAAACATTTCGAAGAATTTCCTGTACATGTGATATATGTGTATTGGACAGCCATCAATCTGCCAGTAATGGACTTATCAAGCAAGATGACTGCAATGATTTTGCTGAACATGCTTCAAACTTAGCTCATGACAAACGAACCTCACGCCCACATTCCTTTGCTAATAGTAGGGTACTCATGTATCCTGTAAGCTTCAAGTCTGCAACATTAGATGATACTGATTTGTTTACTATAACGGCTTCATTGAAATGTCTCTCCGCTTTGTTTGAATGCTAGAGAAATACGGGGCGTACTAGAGAAAATTTTACGCAACGTTTTTGGCCGAGAATCTTTCGATAAGGAGCTAAAGAGGTTATATCGTGTTCTGGGCTTGGCCCATCGTCCATGAAAGTACGGTCCAGTACGCTGTAGGCTCAGTAGAATGCGATTACAAGGAAATTAATAGCGGAGAAGAGGTTCTGCCCATTACTTTTACAAGGAAAGGATACTTGGTTACCGTGGCCATTTGAAATACGATGTAGACCACAAGATGCATCTTGAAACGCTGATTCTAAATCTGTGCTCGATATCTGCGAAACGATCTTTTAAAGAAAGTTATGAATTTTTTTCTTAGAAAATTCGCAGACTCTGGATATTTGAAATCATCGAATTTGGTCTCTTATCTCAATTTACCGTCTGAGGCTGTTAAAGAAAACCTTAGGCAAAGTATTGTTGCAACTGTCTAAATCATATTAGCCGTTGAAAAGGTGAGAAAATCTTCTGTTGAAAATTCAAACCCTTCGCAGTAGCGCAAATCATCCTTCGAAAAATAATCATAACTCCATCCATTTTTCGTTTCGGAGATATGGAAGACAGTTTTCTAAGCAGCATTCAAAGGCGCAATTTTGACATACAAATCATTATGGATGGCCACGGTCACTAAGTATCTTTCCCTTGTTAGTCGAAGTGATGAAAGTCGTGACAAAAACGTTGTTTTGCCCCTGACATTCTTAAGAGGGATGATGGTCTTGATAGCAGTAAAATATGAAAGAAAATGTATACAATACCGCTCGTATCTTCAAAAAAAACGACGCACATTCGCCCGATTCATGTGACATCATCGTTGCGTGGCCATATTTCACTATGGCGTGAACGAATGTACAATCCAAGGGCATTTGACTGAGCTCGGCATGGCGCATCTTTTAATATGTAGAAATATTTGTTTGGACACAGTAGGAGGTCAGGTTCCACGAATCGTTTCAGATTTTTGCTTACAGTAGGTGGCTCAGTGATGCAATGAGTAAGCCCACAAAACTATCACGAATCAAGAATTCCATTGCTTTTGCGATTCAGAAAACATGGATTTACTTTGAGAGCGGCCTCCATCAATCTTTCTCTTTGATTTGAGATTTATTTGTCTTCTAAATATTGTTAAAGAAAGAATGGCCCATTTAGTCGCTTTCATTTCTTCAACGTAAGTGTCTACCCTTTATTTTTGACAATCCCTTGATGAATCACGTGTCCAGAGGCACTGTTCTTATTGCTAGATTCGATTTCATGCTCCATTTGGCGTCCTCTTCTGACATTTCCAAATTTGATTTTAATTATCTCTTGGAACCTGTGCTCACGTCATGCAAAATGCTAGTCTAAGCATACCACTTTCTCTTGGAAAATCAGAGTGAAACAATCTTGCGCGTAAGCGGATTTCCAAACAGGTGTATGGGGAGCTCTAATACCTAAATCATCTTTTCGTATTCGATGCACTTATCAAAGTATAGAAAAATATTCTTGTCATTCTCATAAGGTACACAACAACTTCGTTGGCTTTGCTTTGTTTAGTCTGATTTAGTTCATTTCAAGACCTCATTTTGACTCGATGCCCCTTGTCAAGAATCAGTTCACGGGCCGGAATTTCATATAATTCTTACGGGATATGCGGAAGTGACCAATTAACATTTGATTCGACTGTGGCGGCTGGGAGGCGGGGCTTTGTGACCTACTTAAAGGCAGCGTCCAGGCAGATCTGGACCTATGGGGCTTTTACGTGGAAAGTACTTTTGGGGCCCCAACTAAGGCACTGCCCAAGCCGCAGCTCAGGTAGTGCTGTAATGACTGAGATATTCCCCTCGAAACTGGACCCCGCGACCGTGTTTCGCATGGATTCATGGCGCAAAGCGTGGATCCTGATGCGAAACTGCCATGAATCCATGCGAATACGTTCGCGGGGGCCAGTTTCGAGGGGAATATCTCAGCCATTAGAGCACTACCTGAGCTGCCGCTTGGGCAGTGCCTTAGTTAGGGCCCCAAAAGTACTTTCCACGTAAAAGCCCCATAGGTTCAGATCTGCCTGGACGCTACCTTTAAGGCCGCTCGGCTCGCGCCCGCTACGCAATCTGCGTCTCTCTCGCGCGCGTGCTCTCTGATCATTTAGCCTTGGTTAGGTAAGAACTCCCGCCTTTAAGCAGCCGAGCCAGTTGAATCAAAGGATAGCAGCATTAAATTCTTTGAAAAATCTTTGAAAGATTTTCAAGATAAACCTGGCCCATTCTTGCGGCCTTCAAGATATCTGTTTTCATTCCTGCACTGTCGCATGACGCTATACTAAAAAGCACATCTCTGAACAAATAATTTGCAAGCGCAGCAAAGGATCTCCAGTCCCCTCGAGAATTTTCCGAGAAATTCTCCAGACGCTTACTCCTTTGTGCGCGCGTCTCCACTTTTAGATTGCCGGCCATTTCATTTGAAAAATGGATTTGAGGATATCCATAGATTTTGTGCCCTTTGAGCATTCCTTTGATGTCACTGGCAGCACAAAGAAGATTCTCAGTAACAGAGTACGTAGAACGAGTGACAGACGGAAGTGTTCAAAAAATGGGATTAATTTCAGTGCGCTTGGAATTTAGGGGAAGGTCCCAAAAATAGAAAACTTGAGTTTGTGATTGCTCAAAAATCATTCGTTCCACAAGTGTTGAAATCCTTTTCAATTTATATTCAGCTAGTATCCCTCCTTTTCTTTTCATGCGCTGCTCAACCAAAAATCTACTTTCTCCAGGCAGCGATTTATCTTTTATCAATTCTGCTAGTGTTGAAAAATTGCTATAGGCCAACCAAAAAATAATGAGAAACTATTCCACATAAAAATTGAAATGTGTTAGGAATCCTGAAATAATGGCTTTTGGAAAAAAAAATTGCTAAGGCTGCGTCTAGACTGCGTTCAATCAATACTGGTCGAATATACTGCTTTTCGGCACGGCGCTGGAACAGTGTTGGCACATGTACTCTAAACCTAAAGCTTTGTAGAAAACATTGTATTTGAGAATTTAATCGCGATTTTTGTAGGCTTTCAAAGGCATATGAATATTTTCTTGCACTAAAGACAAGAAACAATTGTTTGAGCAGCACGACTAGGTCAACATCTTTGAACTTTAACTTATTGTTAGATTGTGAAGGTGGCTCTCGTATGTGTGCGGACATGTCATATGTTTCATATCCTACCAGGCTTGCTAGTGAACTTTTTATGAGATTTATTTTGATTTGAAAGTACTATCATTTTGTCATTATCACAACTATTTCAAGGTGACGCAAGAGCACTGACCTTCTTTTATAAACACCACGAGTTTTGTGTGCTAATGGTGGTTGCTCTTTGATCTGTAGAGTTGGAAAATAACGAATTTCAGGCTAAGCATCTAGAATCTTCTAACACTTCTAAATTTTCTCATTTTTCTCACAAGATCTAGCCGAAAATTTCCCATTCTCATCGGGTTTTTTTCAAGCTTTTCATCATTTTCCTATTACAGCCATTAGCTTTCCACGATATAGTTACAGTTTTACATGGAGTCTTCTTCACAATGTAGAAATTGTCCAACGAATGACATCTATCGCTCAAGTTTTATTTATTCTTGTGATAGAGCTTTTGCTGCTATGAAACCTTTCATAACATTTTGGAAGTGGTTTCGTCGTTTATCTCCTTTCTCTTCAAATCGATGCGAATTTTATCAAACCAATTTACGCTAATGGCTTATTGTGGCGGGAATTGATCATATTCGGGGCTTACTGGGGAAACGGGGAAAAGGTCAAGGAAACTGGAGAAATCCTACTTGACTAATCTTGAGAGTAGAGGAAATTCGGAGATCAAAATTATTTCGTTTTTCAGTACTAGGAAATTCATCTTCTGATGGTGGTAGATATCTCGACATTGGGAAAAGTTCACAAATTATAGAGCTCAAAAATGTACTAGGTTTTGGTTTGTCAAGAAAAATTGACTTTATTGGAACTGAATACATAATTACTCACCGTCTAGAAGACTTTGGTTATCGTTTTTGTTGCTAAGCATATTTTTTGATCACTGTAAATATCATCTTTGTTCCTGTTAATCTCTTTCATTTTTCCATCAAAGCAACCACTTCCTTTAAAGATTCTTTAACAGAAATTTCATTATTTTAACTCAAATATCTAAGCTTGCCGTTTTATCTACAATGTTTAAGGGTAAGTAAACGTTTCAGAATCATATGTGACTTCTTGAGAAAGAAATCTCAGTTTTTTTCCCAAAATCTCAACTCATTGCTCTCCTTCTCTTGAGGAAAAACTTTTTAAAAATTCTATTTTTTTCTCAGTCTCAAGAAGAATCTCAACTTCTTATTGCTGTCCTTCTTTCGAAAAAAGATTTTTTGCATTGTCTCATGTCGTCACCTCGGGGAATTGGCGTGTATGAATTGAGCTGTCAAAGAATGTGACAAGTACGTAGAGTGACTAGGGCGTGGTGTTTGAGAAGTTAGTGGGTCGTTCGGGTGATTCAAAGGACGATCACATGTGCTGAACAACAGAGGAGTGCTTCGAGCTTGACGAGCCGAATTCCACCGAGGAGCCAAAGCACCTCCCACTAGTTCTATGTACATCTCTTCATCGTCACCGAGCTCGACGCAAACACTTGCCGATGTCTCTTTGGCCGCCACCCAGGTAGGAGAGTAGTTGCAGCATCCCCAATTTTATCTTGAAAAAAGGCCTTTCTTCGCTGAAAGAGCAGTCATCTTTCAAGAAAGTTATACGCCATTCGAGACACGCAAAGACTGGGCGCTTTTGGGTCCGCCGAAGATAGTTCGTGCATGGGAGAGACGGCAGATGGTAAGAGAAACGAGAGAGCGCTCAATCAGAGAGACGCCGAGCAGTCTTTGCGTGCTATGAATCGCCTATAACTCCGGTCGAGCAATTTTTTAGACTGTTTTCTTGATACCTTTTACTTTTTTTCATACTCTTATAGAAGATCAGCTGTAGAAAATTTCAGTTTTCAAAAAATTATTTCTTTTTTGCTGGAAACGCATTTATTTTTGAAAGTTTTGGCTATGACCGCGTATTTTCAGGAAAGAAAAAATTGTTTTCTACCCAAACCCCCCCCCCTCCAAGTCCTCCAAACTTTTTATGTTGACTCGACTTCCTTCCAATCGATTTATCACTTGTGATGTGAATACGATGATATACTGAACACTTGTCTCCTCATTTTTCTCCAGATTACCGTCTTTAAAAAGCAGAAAATACAGACTCAATCTCAAATATTTTTTTGTGGTTTCTAAGGTTTATTTTACAAAATTCACTATCTTGATGAAATCGGAACTTCCGCAAACATTCTGAATTCTTTAGGTGTTAAACACTTCTCTACAATTCATTCCAAATTTCATCCTCTTTGATAGCTTGAAGAAAATGAAAAATCATAGCCGAAGTCAAAGTCCATAGCCGTAGTTCAAGTTTTTTCATTTAGAAATTTCTACTATCTTCATAAAATCGATATTTTTGCAAACATTTCAAAGCTGGCCTTCCTTGGTAGAAGGCATCATCCCATTAAAATCATATACTCTACTGCCTGAAGCTTTCTTCTACGATAAACCCATTATCTTGCAAAACTTCCAGCAATATTCCGCGGAGCTCAAGCGATTTTATTGCTTTGTCATTGAAACCAAAAAAGGTCCACTCTTTCTAAGAACACTTCGACAGAAAGAAAAATTCACAAAATGACGGATAAAATGGTCAGAACTAAAGCCATCCTTTCTAAACAAGCTGTATATATCGTCTTGGCATACTGATCTCAAATGTATGTTTACTATCTGAAAGGAATTATGAGCTTTTAAAAGTACAATTTATAAAGTATGCTGTAGCTCCTGTTTTACAGAAAAACGTTTCAAAAACACTTGTCTAAGTTTTTTTTTAAATTTGCTTCTTCCTTGTAATTGAAATAGTCATAATCACTGTACTGTAAGTGCGCACCTTCAGGCTGCCTCTTAACCATTTATAATCGTTGGGACTCGACTAAGTTCTCATATTCAAAAGCACATAACTCACTCCAATTGGCAGAGAATAAACATATTAGGTTGTCCCATAAGTCTTTTCATACCTAAATTTCCAGCGACATAAATCAGTTCTTTTTGATCTTCTAATAGAATGCGTGGTACCATTCGACAGACCAAAGCAAGCTCTACAAGATGGCCTTTGAAAGTTCGCACAAACCTCAATCCGTTCAAGTTCCCAGCCAAAACAAAAAAAATTCCGAATTTCCGAAAAAATGAAAGTCGTCATATCTCAGTTCAAAACAACTCTGCGGATTTCCAACTTTTTCATGCGTATACTCTTCTCATCGGATATTTATGTATGCACTTGCTGCATTTTTCTGATGGCTAGAAACCAAGAAAAAAATAATGCGCTCAATTTTCAAACTTTGGCTGTATCCGTTCTGTGTTCCCCGAAAATAGGCGATTATATAGCTTATTCACTCAGAGTTACTGTCAAAAATTTACAGCTTACTAGGTGCCCTAGTTCTTGAGAAATATCAAATTGAAGGTCCGAATATGAAAAGACTTATGGGACAACCTAATATTTTGATCAGCGTTTCAGGAGGAGTTTGATGGTATACAGCTTGTTTGGAATGGCTGGATTAAGTTCTGGCCATTCCTTATGAGCTTTCATGAAAAAAAATCGGATAAACCATCATTTTGAGTTATTATTACAATAAACCATCATACTGAGTTATTTTCGTGAAAAATGCGAAAAGTTCCTGAAATTACCGATTTCCTGCCGCCTACTTGAATAAAGGGATAATTCGACGTCGATCATTGTCCTCCATTACTGAATAATTTATGATTGGAAGTCATATGAAAAATGTTGGACGTGGGGTTTTGTTTGTTATGATTTTTCATTGACAGTTTCATACGAATTTTATTGTTGTGATGTGTGCAATTGCACTTACACACTTGAGCAAGCACATCAGTGTTTTATGATGTTACAATTATTGAGATACACATCCAGTGTAAACGAACTTTGGAAACAATTTGTTATATTTTTGGACTATAAACAATAGTTGTTTGAAACCCTGTTGTAAAAAATGTGGCAGCAATTTTTTTTACAAATTCGTGAAAAATATTGATTTTAGACTATAATTATGATATTTGATTTGGAATTATGTTAGAAAGAAGAATATAAAATTTGTGTGACTTTATTTATCAAATTTAACGTTTCAGACATGGGTCATTGTTGTGTTGGCCTTGATTGCGGTGATTTTCCTCGCCAGTTTTGTGCTGTCCATTTGCCGATGCTTATTCTGCCGTCGCTAGATGTCAGAAAAATCGATAATCGATCGATCGCCACATAGAAAATCACCAACGACATCGACACTCCAATCAATCATCATTTCTATCAAATGCGGTATGTACTTCTCAAATAATCGATGAAGTTAGAGATCTTCCAACAATTTCGTTTTTTTCTTCGATTTTTGCAAATTTTCTCTTATTTTTCTCACGAAATTTTTCACTCTCAACACACTCATGCTTGTTCCTGTTGTTTTGTTCATGTTCTTCTTTTTTGTGTAACTTTGATGTATAATTGCCACATATGTTTATTCTGCTAACATTGATATCCATCTGAATTTTCCGAATTTTTTTATGCGCTTAGAATGAAGTTTCCAAGGTCTACGAAGAGTTATTTCCACCAGATTATGCGCATTTATCTGTTCTCATCTGTTGTATTGTACATGTTTATTCGCTAATTCGCTTTATTTGCCAAGTAATAAAAATGTTTCTAACAAATTTTTTTAAACTACAAAAAAGCAGAAAAAATTGTTTTTTGCGTAAGCTAATCCTTTGCGATTATAATTGCTTGTTGATGGTTGGGATTTTTGGAAGACTGATGACTTGTTTATTACAAGCATCTCTTTGTTCTACATCGGAACATCCTTGTTCTGAGTAATCAGTCATTTTGGCAGACGATTACTAGGCGTAAATATCAGTGTGTACATCTCCCCTACTTTAATAGCTAAAAAAGAAAAAGTGAGCAGAGGAAATTCTAAAGATTGCTTCCATATCGGTAAAAGAGAGATGCAGAGCAATTGAATTCCCCACTTGGAAGCATCATAACATAACTTATAATAACGGGCTAAGGATGTTTACATGACTTTGTGTGTGTGTTTGTTACGAAAATCGTGAAGCGTGTTCCAGCCAGCGTTCTAAGCCCAAATTTTGTATAGCGCATGCTACCTTCATGAGAGTCCGACTTGCAAAAGCACGAATAGATTCGTTGAGTGGATCCCTCAGAAACTGCGCGCCAAACGGGTCCACCGGGCTTCTGTGCCGCAAAATTCGGTCCGTATCACCACTTTTTGCAGAGTCGTGGATGAGTTTGGTAAGCAAATGTGCAAGCGATGGAGTTTAGCCAGAAAGTGGCCGAAAGTTTACTACATAACGAAAACGGCGCCAAAACGAATTGGTTGTGTGAATGGTCAATTTGCCAAGGTTCTAGCTAAGCGTCTGAGAAGATCTTCGCACAGAGATGTAGCTCACGCTTATCATTACCTTTATGGCGACTACCAAGCCATGACAAATTCAAAAACCTATTCAAATTTGCGTCCGTTTTCCTGCGAAAGTTTCATCCACGCGAAATCACCGATCTCACGTGAAAAGACTTTCTAAATGAGTGGTTGTTTACATTTTATTCGTGGTAGTCAGCATAGCGCGGTGAGTTCCAGTGCCACGATTTTACGAGAATGAGTAAGGCACATAGATAGTAGAGCCAGTGCGAACCTCTGCGAAGCAGAGGTGACGCACTGGTTGTTAAATATGCCAGTTTTAAGAAAACACGTTTATTTGAAAATTTTACTGGTTTTTTCGGCAATCTTTATTGAATTTTCGTAGATATCGCTTCTTCTCAGAAATCAGTTCTCGCACCAGATTTTCGACCGACCCTGGAACCACATGGAACGTTTCATCATTGCTGTGAGAGGAAAGTAGCGAGCATAATTTTTTCAGCGTTTTCCTCCATATCTTTGTTTTCCCGATTTTCGCGCCCACATTAGTGCACTACACTGTTTCCCTTCAATTTTTGTGATACTCAAGTAGGAAAGAATTTGTTTCTTGAAGGATCAGATAGCTTCAAGCTTCATCAATACGCCGCAAATGCATCGATAGTGTAAATTTATAAGTCTGTCACGAGGTCTACTTATTACTAGTTGTTGACTGAAAAATCAGAATACTTTTCCATTCATGCGAAACACTCTCGTACTCAAATCAAATTTGATACGATGAGTCTGTAGAATTCTCATGTAGAGCCTGCAGACTTTAATTAAGTAACCATCTCTTGTTTTACAAGCTGTGGCCATAATATTCTTTTCAAGAATGGACGCATGCCATTGAATTTTGGACAGTAACACAACTGGAAAAACTTGCCAATGTCAGTCCAGTAAAATACAAAAAATAATTAGAATATATCTCTAAAAATTCCCGACCTTGCCATACACCTACTCTCGAAAGCGCGTTAACGAGATCTGCGAGAAAAGATTTTCTATTCAAATGACTTTTTCATGCAATATGTTCGAATCTTGCATCTACAGAAATCGTCTCTTCGATGCATAAATACAATTCTCCTTTCTAATGAATATCCGTGGATTCACATTACGCAAGATATATAAATAGTAAACGAGAAAATCAATATTTAGTGAACTTTTGAGATCTCTGCAGACATGCAGTTGCAGTTGGATTACGACATCGTATCAAAAGAAATTTCTAAAATGAGAGTTAAGTTAATAAAGGCAGAGCTAAGTTGAGTGTAGTCTCAGAGTTTGACTCAACATGCAGTGATTGACGCTACAACGTATACTCAAGCCAGATATAACATAATTCCGGTGAACTGTGCTAAAAGAAAAACATTCTTAAAGGTTAGAAATTGCTAATGCACTACACCCACTATTTATGGAGTTGTGCGGGACTGTTAAAAAAAAGATGAAGAATTCGATATTTTCTACGTCCTCGGTCATGCACCAAACGCATTTTACAACACGATTGAACGAATACCGAAGTTGTACTTTACAGTGACTGCAGGGGCACACGATTACCAAGAAAGTTTAACCGTCTACAATTTGTACCAATTCGCTGTCACCGGATAGACGGGGTGCGGATCGAGCTTTTGACTCTGCTTGTCACAGCCACGCTTCATACCACTACTCCACTCTCTCCCCCCCCCCCTCCTTTCAAGAATAGGTGCTCTTAACCATCCTGATGTCTAGTGACGAAAGTATTTTTGGCGCAATAGTATCACAACCTACTACATAATATCTGTTGTAAACAATCAAAAGTTTCTTAAACTTGTCCCAGACAATGTTAATAATATATACAATATGAATCAGTCGCTAAAAAAGCTCTGACCGTTCTTTTTGTTATTCTGAGGAACATTCACAGCAATGATGCAAAACTCCTGATGCGCTTGTATAAGACGTATGTCTTACCTCTCCTTGAATACGCTTCGCCCGTTTGGAATCCTTTTTTGAAAAAGCATATTGAAAAGCTAGAAAAAGTCCAAAAAGCATTTACTAGAATTGTCTTTTACAGATGCTATCCAAACTCTGATCACCCTCAAGCTTTGCCTGCGTATGGCTTGAGACTATCCGCTTTAGGTCTACGTAGTCTGAGATACAGAAGAATATGCAATGATTTAGTATTCTGCTTTCGCATTATTCGTTTGGAAACCAGACTGAGACCGAGTAAATTCTGGGTCTTCAGACCTTGCGGAAACCGAACAGGAGGTTTTTCAATGGGATACAGCAAATTAGGGAACAGGATTTGTTCGAAAACCTTTAACTCTCGCTTGCCGCACAGCAAGGTGGCTTAGTCAGCTTCCGAGTGATATAACTTCTTGCAGAAATTCATTAGAATTTCGCAAAAAGCTGGCCACCATAGATGTTATGCAGACTTTGGGAATAGCTGACTTTTGAACACTAAGATTTACAAGATCTTCGGCAATTTCCGCACAAATTCTCTTGCTTCGAAGGCAATTCGTATGTTTGCTGCATTCTTTTTGTGACTGTCGAGCAATTTTCTTCAAAAAATTGAGCAATCAAAGAAATTCATGGACTTTCCTTTCACAGGCAGTGTGGTCTTTTTTGCATGTGTAGTGAGTTGCGGGTGTCCTCGAGCTAGTTGGTCGATGCCCCCTCTTATCACTTCGAGCGACCTTTCGTACGCAGATAAGCGATTGATTCTGTCAACTCTGTATGCTCAGCTTAGAGATTGAGCCATGCGTGTCAAAACAGTTACTAAAGAGGTGTTAGCTAGTTTTTGAACGAATTTGATGTTTTTGATTGATTTTTTACATGTTAACAAGCTTTTTACAGTATATCAATCTTTCCAAGGGCTTCAGAAAGTTCTCTTTGCTTGGGTAGCCGTTTGAGGAGATCGAAGACTAGTGAGCCCTCTGCCTTGAGATCCCCCTTCTCGCTCGCCCAGGGTCCCTGACGGATTCGTCCGCCTTGGGTTAAGCTGGTCAGCCAGGCCCTGGTAATTTATTACATCCCATGCGTTCGGGTAAGGGAAAAGGATCTCGGTGGAGCCCCACTCACTTCTTGGAGATGGAGAGCGACCTGATCATCCAGCAGGGGACAATGTGATCCAAGCCCGAGTGTTTTGTGTTTTGTGTTTTGTGTTCTTTTGGTTTCTATTTTTGGCACACTTTCGTGTATTATAAATAAATAAATAAATAAATATTCTTGTATGGCAATCCTCCCTTTCCGTCGATAAACATTCTGTTGAGAAAATATCAGAAGGAAAATTCTGCATTACAGTTGTGACAGTGGAATGTGAAAAATTTCGGCGAATTCACCGAATTCGCCGATGTCGCCGAATTCGCCGGTGTCGCCGATGTCGCCGATGTCGCCGACTTTGCGTCTTTTCGTCATAACTCCCTTCGTTCTCAATGGATTTCAAATTTGAAGGCAGATTTGGATTCAGCTCGCCGAGACGAATCTTTTCATATATTGAACTGCTGTAATCGGCTCGGTCACGGTAAGTGCATGGTAGGAATCCATTGCATCCTGTGGTGTTTTCTAGAGTGTGTATTTCGGCGCATAATGTAGGCAAAGGTTTAAGATAAAGAGCGTTTGATGGAAGAGTTTTTGCAGAGTGTTTCCAGCAGAAAAACCATATTCTTTTTTGTAGTGGAAAAAAGAGAAAGGAGTACGTGAACTTAGTAAATATGCATGAACCACTTACCGTCAAGCAAACATAACTATACAGTAACATTATGATTAGCAAAACGGTTATAATCTTTGTAATCAGCATTTCTTGTTGCTTATGTGAGCAAAGTGACACATCGCATGACTACGATATTCTGCTTCCAGCAAAACTTCACCTCTTTCTGCAGACGCCTCTTTGCAACGCTGTGCGCCAGCCCCTTTCACACTTAAAAGATTCCGGTTTAAGGCGAATCGGAAAGAGTTGTTTCCGGAGATAATCCAGCGGTGAAAAGTAGACGGAGACATGCTTTATAAAGCGCGAAAAGAGATGGTGAATTCTGCAAAAATTACGCGCCTCTAAATTCTACTCGCCATAACTTCCTCCGGAATAAGTATATTCTAAATGCGAAAACGGTGCTGTGCTCAGCTCATCAAGGCGAATCTTTTGGTATACAGCATGTCCTTGATATTTCGATCTCAGTATTCTTGAATCTTTCTGAGGACGTCTTTTCGCGAAGGTGTAAAGCAGCGAGCATTGTCCCGAGTACATTCCAGCAAGGGTGATTCGATAGCATTTTTTCTGTAGATTATAATGTGCTAAATAGTAGCCGCAGGTTTTTTTTTCAAAGGGAGTAGAACGGCTGGTGAATTGTGGAAAAATCTTGTCGTCCCAAATTCTACCCGCCATAGCCATAGAATATGATGCTCTCTTGCTAAGCAGATGTGATTATCGTAATCAGCAGGTCGGATAACCTCTATGAGCAAGTTTCCCGAGATGTTCGGGTTATTTCATTTTTTCTGGTTTCACGCTCTTGGAAGCTCGCCGATGAATTTTGGTCAAAATGATGATGCTCTTGAATTGTAAGGAGACTTCGCTTATAGAGGTTTTCGAACACGCTCTTTACGAAAATCGTGGTCTTTGAGGATTACAGTGTCTTTTTGGAGAGATACGGTGAGGTAACTGTTACTGCACCACGAAAGTGCGTAACTTTGCCCGCACTTCTCTCGTATCTCTCAGGAACCTTGCTTGCTTGCTTTCCTCACTTAAAGTTACTGGGAACTGTGCTATCGGAAGGTGCATGGATCGGGCTCCAATCTATAAAATTCGCCGAGTTACGAGCCTACGAAAACACGTCCTCATGAAATTTGCACAAAATGTAAAGATCGCGTACTTTGTTGAAATTCCATCGTGAGTGGTTGCATGACTAATTGCAAATGTTATGTTCGCCCCGCCCGCGTTTTATACAACCACTCACGGTAGAATTTCAACAAAGTACGCGATCTTTACATTTTGTGCAAATTTCATGAGGACGTGTTTTCGTAGGCTCGTAACTCGGCGAATTTTATAGATTGGAGCCCGATTCATGCACCTTCCGATAGCACAGTTCCCAGTAACTTTAAGTGAGGAAAGCAAGCAAGCAAGGTTTCTGAGAGATACAAGAGAAGTGCGGGCAAAGTTACGCACTTTCGTGGTGCAGTAACAGTTACCTCACCGTATCTCTCCAAAAAGACACTGTAATCCTCAAAGACCACGATTTTCGTAAAGAGCGTGCTCGAAAACCTCTATAAGCGAAGTTTCCTTACAATTCAAGAGCATCATCATTTTGACCAAAATCCATCGGCGAGCTTCCAGAGCGTGAAACCAGAAAAAATGAAATAACCCGAACATCTCGGGAAACTTGCTCATAGAGGTTATCCGACCTGCTGATTACGATAATCACATCTGCTTAGCAAGAGAGCATCATATTCTATGGCTATGGCGGGTAGAATTTGGGACGACAAGATTTTTCCACAATTCACCAGCCGTTCTACTCCCTTTGAAAAAAAACCTGCGGCTACTATTTAGCACATTATAATCTACAGAAAAAATGCTATCGAATCACCCTTGCTGGAATGTACTCGGGACGATGCTCGCTGCTTTACACCTTCGCGAAAAGACGTCCTCAGAAAGATTCAAGAATACTGAAATCGAAATATCAAGGACATGCTGTATACCAAAAGATTCGCCTTGATGAGCTGAGCACAGCACCGTTTTCGCATTCAGAATATACTTATTCCGGAGGAAGTTATGGCGAGTAGAATTTAGAGGCGCGTAATTTTTGCAGAATTCACCATCTCTTTTCGCGCTTTATAAAGCATGTCTCCGTCTACTTTTCACCGCTGGATTATCTCCGGAAACAACTCTTTCCGATTCGCCTTAAACCGGAATCTTTTAAGTGTGAAAGGGGCTGGCGCACAGCGTTGCAAAGAGGCGTCTGCAGAAAGAAGTGAAGTTTTGCTGGAAGCAGAATATCGTAGTCATGCGATGTGTCACTTTGCTCACATAAGCAACAAGAAATGCTGATTACAAAGATTATAACCGTTTTGCTAATCATAATGTTACTGTATAGTTATGTTTGCTTGACGGTAAGTGGTTCATGCATATTTACTAAGTTCACGTACTCCTTTCTCTTTTTTCCACTACAAAAAAGAATATGGTTTTTCTGCTGGAAACACTCTGCAGAAACTCTTCCATCAAACGCTCTTTATCCTAAACCTTTGCCTACATTATGCGCCGAAATACACACTCTAGAAAACACCACCAAGGATGCAACGGATTCCTACCATGCACTTACCGTGACCGAGCCGATTACAGCAGTTCAATATACGAAAAGATTCGTCTCGGCGAGCTGAATCCAAATCTGCCTTCAAATTTGAAATCCATTAAGAACGAAGGGAGTTATGACGAAAAGACGCAAAGTCGGCGACATCGGCGAATTCGGCGACATCGGCGAATTCGGCGACATCGGCGAATTTGGCGAATTCGGCGAATTCGGCGAATTCGCCGAAATTTTTCACATTCCACTGTCACAACTGTAGAAGATAAAACAGCAATACGCATCCCATGGCTGTCTACTAAATCCTCCCTGACTTATCAGATGTTTGGTTTTCTTATCACTTCAATGATAAGTTCTGCGCTACTTGAAATACCCATTCCAAATGAAGTGCGTTTCATTCTTTTCAATTCTCAGCCTCTTCCCCAGCTGCATTTGCAAGTTCGCGGACGTCGACTTACTACTCAGCACTCTAAGCTACCTTTGCAGGATGTCATCACAACCACCGTCACGAGGTGGTGGCGCCAGTAGTGGTGCCAACGGTGGAGGCAGCAGTGGCACAATGACATGGGCATCGTCGCGACGTCTGGTCATCACCAATGACGTGCCACAGATAGTTGTAGCTAATAGCACCACTTCGCGATGTCACGATCGAGGCGGGACCGTGTTCACATCATACTCTTCGCGTGGCGCGAGTTCACCAAATACACGAGGAGGAGGATTTCAAGCTGGTCGCGGCGGTTGTAGTACAGGCTATCAGATAAGGAATTCGTCAACAGCAAGAGGAGGTATGTTCAAGCTTCAGTTGAGCCAGTCCTGTCGATTACGGTAGGGCTATAATCGGGGGTAATCGGGGGTAGCAGAGGGATATTGCAGAAACGTAGTAGAACGGCTCCAAAACTGACATCGAGCGGTACTCGGTGGATATCTATTTTTGGGGCTAGAAATTTCGAAAAAAGAGCTTTCAAAGACACACTTGTGGTTTTGGCCATGGAGGCGTTTTGTCGCCTGCGCGGACAGCTCCTACAGCTTTGCAATGTGCTAAGATGCTCACTATGTAGCAGTTGTCCCCGCTGCTAAGGAGCTTTACAGTTTGCCATTTGAAGTGCGCGAGTAGGGATAATTAGCAAAGATGAGGTAACCGAGGTAGAACAAATTCTGCAAAAACGCGTCGCATCCGTACGATTGCGATCTACAGCTTAAGGGCCGGGCATACTTCACGCGATTTTAGTCGCGGAGCGATTTGGCAATATCCCAACTGTCCATAACTCACTGTAAGCACATTTTCAATGTACAGAAGATAGGGCATTCTGATCAGTCCACTAAGTTATACATACTATGCATGTGCATTTTGCCAGTATTGGATCTGAAGACTTCTGGCGGATTGCCAAATGGCGTCGCGGCTGAAATCGCGTGAAGTATGCCCGGCCCTTTAGCAAGACTTGTTATAGGATACTGGTCCTCTCGCACATGCTATTGCATACCGTGTGAGGAACAATAGTCCATAGAAGCGACCCTAACGGCAGCAATCGTTCTGTCGGAGTTGGCGTTGAGTTTTGCATCACAAGAGCGGTAGATTCTCTTCCACAAAATGACTCAGACAAAATGACGCAGCTCGCGGTCTACCGTAATCCTACAGTATGGACGAGTGCTAACTACAGTTTAGTTATAGTAAGACTTGTTATAGGAGCCAGCTATTATGCATGGAGAAGCAATTCGAACATTGTCCCAAGCAGTCGGTGTGGCGCTGTACCCGTGACTACATATTATCGCGGAGGAAGTGCCTATCAAACACGAACACCGAATTTTTACCCCCGTAGCACGATATCAGCCGGGGTCAACCTACCAGGAGTTACTAACCGCCCCACTCAGAACGATCCTACCGTAACAGCTCCAAAATTCTTCCCAATGTCACTGAATGCGACGCCACAATTCGTCGACAATGTGGGCATACCATTACAGTATCCGCTGCCTATGAGACGTATAACGCATCAGCTTCAGCCAATGTCACCACGTCGAGATATGCGTCTGCAGACACCTACGGCGATTATGGTATCCAAGAAAGCCCCAATAGGTGTGGATGTATCATGTGGTGGCCCCACGGCTCACTCGAGTGCCAGAAGCGGTGGTGACGCGACTAATGAGACCAATCGTACCACGGAAGCGAAGGAGGCGAATGCCTCTGAGTTGACGGAAGCGAATCGAGGCGATGCTGAAGAGAACGAAGATGATGGCAGTGATTCAGCAGATCTTTTGCGAAATAATGAAGATACTTGGGACTTTTGGGATCGCGTCTATAGTGATCCGGAACTGCGACAAAGCATGCAAGAGCGACAGGTATCGCTGCGATTTTTGCAAGTATAAACGAGTATAAGCGCCCTTTACAGCGAGATTCTCCCATGGCTGAACTACTGCACTCAGACAAGCTTTGCAAGGCTCAGCTGATATTCTTGAATGTTCCGAGACTAGCCTACGGTACCTATAAACTATTCATTACACACAGATATTGGATGCCGTCTTTGTGAGAGACGCAGACGGTTAGAGGAATGAAAATGCGTCTGACCTGAGAGATGCTGACAGCGTCCGCAGTGGCGACCAGTCTCTGCGTGCGATAAATCGCCTATGCTCTACTTTACCGTACCCATTACGCATAAGAAGCATTTTCAGGGCAGCAACATGTTGTGCGTAGTCTCATCCATCGCGAAATTAATTCAAATCTTCCTATTTTAGACATTCATATTACGTATAGAAAATGGTATGGATAGCCCTAAATGCCTTAGATATCAAAAACAAAAATTAGTCACAAGTCTTACAATTTTCTAGGACTGTCCGCTTTTATCGCAGCGAAGATGCTGTGCAAGTGCTGCGTCACTTCAATGGATTTTCTTTTAGAAATCATAAATTGCTCGTAAGAGCTTGCCAGAACAATGTTGCTGTGAGTAGAAAATACCACTGATTTCTCAAAATCACAAAAAAAAGAAAAAAAAAGAAAAAATCTAGTTTGGTGACATAGCATCGCTAGAGGAAGCAGCTCAGATGGAAAGTGAAGAACGACGTGCTCTTCCTGACGCCTCCTCAGACAATCGAATAGAACATGATGCGATTTGGACACTAGCTGAATGGAAAGATATTGTAGAGTTCAAAAAGTGAGCGTGGAAGAGTGTACCATATGTTATAGTCACCTCCGCATTTCCAGAGATTTAATCTCGATTTTGGAAGGGAAGCAGGCTGGAATGGTTTTGAGAGAAGCGCTCAATGAAGCTCGTGTCACACAACGTCGCGGTTTTGTTTCTGCAGCCGCCGAGTTCTGGCCTACCGGATTCATTCGAATTTTCCTACCTGAGGTAGGTACGAGAGGCAATGGCATGCACCCATTGGTTCAACTACGGTATGCTACCATAATCTCGCATAGCGCTCTCTGTGCTCCTTCTAACAAGGGAAGGAAGATTGGTCGAAGTGGCCTTTTGAGATGAGATGTGCACTGTTTGGTAGAGCTTGGGACGCTGATTCCAAATCTACCTTTGCTATCAGCTGCGGGCTTCTGGGCGAGGAGTTATGGAGGTTTTTGTGAGTAAAAGGCTGAATGCAAGAGTAGGGCAAAATCAGTCGTAACCTTTTCCCAGCGTTCAAATGAGGCAGCAACGAGTTGGTATATTTAGATCAAGATTATTTGTTGCACCGAGTGACCCCACTACCGATTAAGCCCTATAAATAATGTTACGTCTGATTTTAGCCTACTCTTGCATTCAAGTTTTTACTCACAAAAACCTTCATAACTCCTCGCCCAGACACCCGCAGCAGATAGCAAAGGTAGATTTGGAATCAGCGTCCCAAGCTCTACAAAACAGTGCACATTTCATATCAAAAGGCCACTTCGATCAACCTTCCTTTCCTTGTAAGCACAGAGAGCGCTTCTCGCATGAACACAATGAATATGGCTGTTTTGCGGTAAATATCCAATTGCCGACCTGCGCAACTTGTCTTGACACATCGCTCGTGCAGCTTTGTTTGGACTAGTGAACCAGCAATCTAAGGCCTCGGGCATACCTCACGCGATTTCAGTCGCCATGCGATTTGGCAATACTCCAAATGTTCATAACTCATCCTACGGGGTTTCTGAATGTACGGAAGAGGGGGCATTTTATCAACCTACGAAAGTTATACATGCTATGCATTTGAGGTCTTCCAGTATTGAATTTGAAGACATATGGCAAATTGCCAGATCGCTTGGCGACTGAAATCGCGTGAGGTATGCCCTTGCCTAAGGCATCTGCCATACTTGACTCTCTTATCCGCTTCGTGCAAAACGCGCGCACATAGCAGTCTGTCATTTGGCGCCGCGTAGGTAAAAAGGGATTTTGTATGGTTACGGCAAATTCGCTGTACGCGACGCCAAATGACAAATTAGTGACGCGCATTTTGCACGAAGCGGATCAAGCGGATCAAGCGGATCAAGAGGATCAAGTATGGCAGGTGCCTAAAGGTGCAAGATTTGCAGGCGCCTCGCTACGGGAACCGCAGGTTTCTCGCAATTTTATCTTTTTTAAGTAGGCGCAACGATCCTTTGTATATAGACAAAAGTTTCCATACAGTGTATCTCGCGCGAACCAATATAAGAAGCTCCCCCCGCTTCCCACCCCCGGCATTACGGTGGTGCAAATCGGCCTTAGCCCAAACATATTGCATGCGATTTGGGGAACGGCCATAGATTGCCGACACGGTTGCCGAGGTTGCCGGCGTTGTCGTGGTCAAAGACAGCAGAGAGCGCGCAAAGCGTGGAGGCTGTCATGAAGTCCTACAACGACCGGCAACGTCGGCAACCTCGGCAACCCCAGCAATGGTAACCGTTGCCGGCAACCTAGAGACGTTCCGTTATACGCGCGAACTTACTTAAGCCATCTCTTGTGCAAACGGCGTGATGGCCCTTGTTATTTCAGATCAAGGCTATTGGACGCTGTGTCTGTCTAGCAGGACATGAAGATATGGCAGCGCTTGTCAGAAGAGCTGCTCAAGAGGTACGGTATCGCTACTTTTTTTACCGTAATCTACCATCACATTTTAGGGAACGCCACGATTGATGACGGACACTTGGGAACCGATCCCACCATGCGAAATTCGTACCGAACAGCATATGCTTAGTTATTTGGCTGCATTTTTGGGACATTTTGGGCCACAGCACACAATTATCGACATTCCATTGAGATTACTGTTGAAATCGTTATCAGGAAATTGGCCTGCAACAGGGCCAGCGTTGGCAGAATGGGCAACAAAGTGGGTTTTAGTGGCATCAAATGGGTAAAGTCACCTAAACCCAACTCTTCCTTTCCAACGGGACTTGGGTCAAAGAATAGCAATTGCAGGAGATCTTATCAATTCATAGTCATGTTTGAAGTATTATATCTAGCATCTAGCATAAGACATCGTCGTATCCTAGTTGAAGCTGTGCAGGTTAGTGCCTCATTTTATAGGCAAAAACTCAAATCTACTGCTATTTCAGCCCCTCTCATCATTGAAGTTCAAATTTATTAATCCAGCGAATCGATGCTAGACATCACAATTAATGTTTCAATGATTCCATGAAGTTAAGACAAAGATATCACACAAATTTCAATCATTATGTCGGCGTTGAATTTTGCATTGTAATTTTTATTGTTTGAGCGTAGGGGCGAAATAAATTCCAACCACAAGTTTGGCAGACACAGGATAATCCCAAATTTGAAAAGGGAATATGATTGCACCCCAAATTTCAACAAATATTTCTTTGAGAACGTGGAACCATACATCAAATTCATAGACATAAATCGGGATCCAGAACTTCCAAAATATTAATAAAGATTTTTTATTTCGTATATGTTATTATTTATCATCAGAAGTGAAAAATCAGAAGACATTTTGGACAGCAATGTAATGAACCTTGAAAATAACTTACTAAACATTGACGAGATCAACAGATGACGAGGAAAAACAACACCACGGATAATTATGCCTGACCCGTTCAATCACATATCAATTCCCATTTCCTTTAGAATATCTTGTAACATCTTCACATTGGGATTATTTGGGGAAAGTTTTTGTAACAACGACTCCAAAGTTTCCGATCTATCGCTGAATACTTCTCTAGCCTAGAAAATAACAACATAATGATTAAAATAAAATAGTAAAAGAGAAAATGAATTAGCTTTCACTCGCCGTCTCAGTGTGAGCACTAAAGAAGCGTAGGCATAACAACAGTAAGTTCTCTCCAAAATGGGCAGCTGCTTCGGAATTTGAGATGGTCTGAAACATTATTTAGTGACAGGTCACAATTGGTAAAAAAATAATAAGTGTTACCTCGAAAAAAGAAAGGAATGCATGAACAGCATCGCCAAGACTGCAGCAGTGAGATGACTCGCGCATTGATGGTAAAAGCTTCAACGTAGCATCCAGCACAAATGTGACAAATGGCATAACCTCCTATATGACAGAAAAGAGATAAAAGGTAATATGTTTAAAAAATCAAAGGCTGACTTTTCTCATTCCACTAGGCATTCTAGTCAGTAGAGGAATCTGCTGTGCCATAGTTCCATAATTTCTGAAATCAGAACAGGTTCAACAATTACACAACAAATTACAAAAATTCAGACCTTCGCATTACTTACCGTATCATAACCCTTGGATAAGTTTCCACAAACTGGGTAAGGGTTTTTACAGCACCGACTGAATCCGTTACTCCCGGATCTACCGCTTGAGCCACAAGAGTTGTTACCAAACCATCGGTGTCTCGCTGTCGCCAGCGCACACCTTGTATGGACGCACGATTTGCCAGTTTATCCACGAACAAACCTGAAGAATCCGTATGGGAAGGAAGGATGAGGGCGGAGGGAAAGGGGACGGAAAAGATAACTGTACTTGCGTAAATTTTGAATTTGAAACCTTACATGGGTACTTGTTTTGTATTTCGTCTAGAAGATTCTGAGCATGTCTCCTCTGATCCACAGGAAGATCTGATCTGGCTAAGGTAACGATGACTTCAGCCATAGGTATGGCTACTTCTACACTTGTCATATCAACCTTAAATCAAAGCAAATTACTCGAAAATTAACCGAAGAAGATAAAGCTACCAAATGTTCAATCAGATCCACGGCCATTTTCATTTGCTGCGGATCGCGCATCACCATCTCTACCAGGTACCGTGCAAGGCACGCCCATTGCGGTGCAGACCACACCCGACAAAACTCACGGATCGCATTTAGTGTAAAAAATGTGCATACCGTATGCGGATTATACCTGAATAGACGAAATGTTGAAGATACCAAAAAATTAAATGACAAAAATGAACAAACAATAGAAATAAAAATCATAACAGTAAGAAAAAATTGACTTTAAAAATAAGATAAGGTACTTTGGATTGAAGGCAGATAACAGCTTGAAGAAGACTTGTTCGATTGTTTTGAGTGGCGTCCGCCGAGGCATTTGGGCAACAAGCTCTTCAATGCCAGGTCCACCAAAAATAGCCAACATCTAAAGCAGATCAATTTTGTAATAAGAGAAATTGCATTACCACTCACTTCATTATCAAATTCTGTGGGATCACTAGATCGAGCGAAGATCTCTATGCGTCTTTGCAGGAATTTGTTGAGAAGTCTGAAGGAAAACCACCAGTAGAACGATACTATGGAGCAGTCTCACGAAGATGTAAAGACGTTCAAAAGTCCCAAAAAACACAAGGTGCTCAGCACTTACATTGCACGGCTGTAGCCAGCAGGAATGTTCTTGGTGTACAATGCCTCAAGAATCTCCTCATCGGTGAGCTCCTGGAAGTTGTTACAGATAGAAAGAATAAATACAAAAAACAAGTCTTGTAATGCGACGAAAACCAAAAACACAAAAGACTCAGTCGAAGTACCTTTTTCTTCTGAACTCCATGTACGGGCGCATTTGGTACGTACTGTCTCAAGTGCCCTTCTATGGCAGGAGATGTTGCCGCACTTTTCAATACCTTGGCTGAGAATGTCGATAAACGACTCTTTACGGATGGAAACTGAAAAGTAGAGCTTCTCCATCTTATACTGAACAATAGAAGGAACACTCACTTTCTTGGCACAAGGTCCAAGAACGGCGAAAATCAGGTTGAAGGCTTCGCGATCTCCCAGAAAAAACTTCAAGTTTCCTTCCAAATGCTCAGCAACTGCCATAGCAACATCTTCAGCACGCTGTGTGTCGCGCCAGATATCCCAGCCTAATACGAAGGGAGCTCCTGGCACCTAAACAACCGAGATAGCTGCTTTGTACATCACCTAATTGGGAAACAACTTACCGTAGCAGCCTTAAGATGTTGCACCATTTCAGCTCTGTTCATAGGCTTTGTAGGTGGCGGTTCCACGATCTTCATGGGTCTCAATGGAGAAGCATGGAACGTGTTAACTTCCATCTTTTCTTCACCGGATCTTTCCAACTCATCCATCAACGAAAGGATCTTGAAACATAACAGCATCTTTGAGAAAGTACCAGCAAACAAACTGATTACCTTCTTGGCATGTTTTATCCCATGAATGTTATGAATGTTCATCATCAATCGTGCCGTCTTATCCAAAGTCATAACATCATTTTTCTTCAACTCCTTACCACTACATGCTAACTCAAGAAGTTTCGACGCGTGTTCTGTCCTCATCGCGCTCATCTCACACGCGACTTTCAGGGCAAGAGGTGGATCGAGACCTCGCATAGCAATCTGAAAAAAAACGAAATATTATGACAAATAAAAACACTGAACCAAACAACCTCAACAATCTTTTTGTTATCAAACTCGAGCATAAATGCTCTTAGCTTCGACGTCAGCAAATCAACAGCTTCGCCTTCACAGGTGACCTTCGGCATGGAACCTTTGTCTGGAAGCCAGACCTAAACAATTAAGGCTTCAGTCCCAAGTCATCCTTTCTTCATGCGCGACACAAATTTCAAAAAAGCACCTCCGCGATCTTCTTGTATGTGTCATTTTGTTTGCTTGATGTATAGCACAGCAGCCGCAGCAAAGCTTCAACTGCATCGGATGTCATGAGCACGTGCTGAAATAAACGCGTAATCAAAAAAAAAACAGAGTGAAACTAAACAGTAATTACGCAACTAACACTCTAAACTATGTCAAACTGACCTTTTTTCCAATCTCCACATTGTACTTGAGCACTGGCTTGCGATTCACACTAGATGCAAATCCGTCTTCTGGCCAAACATCGGGAGCACTGGTACACACCTCAACGTAGCGCTGAAACACTTCCAAAAGTGGAAGAGCCTTTTGCGCAGAGACTTTGCCAAACTTTTCCACTAACGATGCAAGAAGGATCGACAACTGAAAAAAAAGCGCGTAATCTCTAAATTAATGAAGAAAAGAATTGGGATACCTGATGCATGTTATCCTTGTCTAACTGATCTGTAATGGCCGACAACAAACAATCCAGCTGTGCACCTTCGGAATCCATTGCTGCTTTCGCTAACTGTGTCACTATGCTCGAAGCGATTTTTGGATAGAAAGTAGCTTTCTTAAGTCCTTCCATCCAAACACCTTCAACGCCTTGATCCAAATCCATCATTTCTTCTTGATCCTGTAAACGTCCAAAAAAACTAAATAGAAGGGGGTATGGCTTACCGCAAATAGTATGCTCAGGACGAGTTTAGCCCCAAGCCGTTCTCGAATGTTGAAAGCGGTTCTTCGTTCGAGGAGAAAGAGTACAGCGCTGATGCAGTCGTCTTGTACCGATTCATCAGCGAACGAAGCTTTTACACGCGAGACAATCTAAACGACTATTTCCTTAGTATAAATCAAAAATAAAAAACCATGATGATGATCGTTCAGACTGCTCATGTGGCCAACAATGCAGCAAAATGCCGCATATGGTAGCAGGTGCAAAGAAAATGTCACCTGCGAGTAGCGAAAAAGTAGACCTGGGCCGGCACATGAGCAAAGCCTCATAAAAATTAGTAAGGAAAAAGGAAAAAATTTGAAGGGTAAGCATGCACCGAGTGGTCACCAAGTGCTCATCTTATCTTTTGTCACCCACCGTATGAACCGCGCTGCCTTCTTCTGTCTTTGCCTGTTTTCGTCGCTGCAGATCATACTGTAAGAACTGACAAAGAGTCGACGCAGGCATGGCTTCTATAGCCGATGAATTGGTTGCGAAGAGCTCCTAAGGTGCTTTCAAAATGATTTCACATCAAAAACATTTCGCTAAATCGACGAGAATGTGATCACCTGTATAGCCGGCATCGCTTTTGATGGTCCGACATTTTTTATCAGCTGATCAACCATATCAGGCTGGCGACATTCACATAAACGTGAAGCCATTGCACAATCCACGGCCAGCGCTTCTAATTTTCGAATGTGATTTTCAGGTGGACGCCTTGGCATACCCCTTAAATAGACTTTCATTTTGAGGCTATTTGGCAGTAAGGGTACGACCGACTTCGGCTGATTGTAGCACACTAATCCTAGTAATTTGGAGCCTTCCTCTTCGACTGACATTTTAAAAAGAAAAGATTCCATAAACAGGATAGCCTAAAAATGAGGAATTAACGAAAGCAATAGGAGGCCAGCTAGACTACTAAAAAATTAGTAGAACTTCCAAAAGAAGCGTACCTCTTTCTCTCTCTCAGCCGTCTCCGCTTCAACGGCATCCCATTCCTCAGGTGTTTTCCCTTCGAATTCCAAAGGAAACCGGAACGATCTACAAGGAAAAGCAAAATCAAAGAAAAGAAAATAGTGAAAGGAGTGAGTGTGGAACAGATTAAGCTTACTTTACCAATACCATATGAATATATAGGCGTAGCTGAGGGTATGTGGCATAGATCTTTTCCATTTCGTCGCTAACTTTACCTGTAAATAACCCATGGTAGCGATGGAGAAAAGAAAAGCGACGTCTTGACCTAACCAGCACATGTCCACATCATCACAATGTACCATGCTTTCCAGTAGTACTTCTTGAACGCAAATTGGTTATACTCCTCACTAAAATAGTGAATGTTGGTGAAAAACTGTTCAGAGGTGAATGAGCACACTAACGGCATAGTGATTCCGGGAGATCGGTATGCGCTAAGTTGGAACAGTCGATCTATCAGGTGAACAGGATTAGAAAGTATAACCAAGGGCAGATAGGAGTCTGCAAAATGTTAGAACTAGATACGCACACCGGAGAATCTGACAAGGGATCAGCTCAGCTCGGCCTTTCGGCAAATGACGTACATAGTCTGAATCAGCTTCAACAACTGATTCCAGATATGCTATTCCTAGCTGCCACGCACCATTCCGAAGCTATTAGGTTGGTGCAAAAGTTCTTTCCGCCCAAATTCAAAAATTCATAACTTGTTGAATTCTCAACGAATCTGCGAGATCTAAACTTTGCTCAAGAGAGAGACTCATGCTCTTTGCATATTTATCTGAGCGGTTTGTTAAAGTTTACAAGTGAAGGAGATAGAAGCTCAAAACCAAAATCACTCAAAATTTGAATTTTTCGTGTAGGGTCATAAAAAATCGGAAACTTGCAACAAAAATCGGAGCAGTGGGTATTGTAGGCTCTTTCACCAGCTCTTTTTAGCTGTGCAAAATATGCGCTAGTTGAGGGTCTCTATGAAAAGTTATGATTTCCTTGAAAAATGCCAAAATAAATCAAATTCGCACTTTTGTATTGCCTGCTCGAAATTCATAACTTTTGATAGAGGCGCTCAAACAGCGCAAACTTTGCACCGTTAGAAAGAGCTGGTGAAAGAACCTACAATACTGACTGCTGCGATTTTTGTTGCAAGTTTCCGATTTTTTATGACCCTACACAGAAAATTCAAAATTTGAGTGATTTTCGTTTTCAGCTTCAGTCTCCTTTATGTGTTCTCGCTAGCCAACAGTTCAAGTACTCTTGCAAAGAGCATGAGTTTCTCTCTCAAGCAGAATTTAGATCTTGCAGATTCGTTGAGAATTCAACAAGTTATGAATTTTTGAATTTGGGCGGAAAGAACTTTTACACCAACCTAATAGTTATGGGCTTTTTCCTGCGCGAAATTGGCATGCTCATCGACTCACGGGCATCACGTCATCATCATTTAAGTGCTGATACACTGCGTTAAGCTTTTTTTAGTGACAAAAGATTTGATTTGTACTATTGCGATACCTCAGCACCTTTTTCTTGCAGATTTTTATCTACAGGCTGTTCTCATGTTCAGTAGTATGCCAATTTTGCGTGGGAAAAAGCCCGTAACTCGCTTCAGAATGGTGCGTGGCAGCTAGAAATAGCATATTTGGAATCAGCGTTTAAAGCTAGTTCAGAATGTATATGCCATTTACTAAAAGGCCGAGCTAAGTGAGGTAGCTTTCCTTATGAGACGCAACTATTCGTTTTGTTGCTAAGTATGTCTAAAAATCAGCTCTCGCTCATTGAATATGGAATCACCTGCAGCCACTCGGTTCTCAACCGCTCTTTTTGTCAGTCCTTCTATTATTCGAATTGCCTCTTGATTATCCAAGCTTGTAAAATGATCCCCAATTATCTGAACGGAAACATCAAATGGTAACTGGTTTAGAAGAAGTTGAGATAAAGACATACCAGTCTAAGCACGGACTCTTTCAAGCGGCACTCGCAGATAATCTTGAAGCATGTAGCATATTCTGCTTCAGAGGGACCTTGTTCGAGTGCACAGTACACTTCCGACTAAAAAGAGAAGCGTGTCCCTGTTCAAGCTCTTTAACATGCAACTAACGACGTAAAATTCTGAAATAGGCATTTTCTGACCTTTTCCATGAAAAGAAGCTTTTGATAAGCTTGCAGATATTCTCTCGCAGAAGGAAATATGTGACGGACACCTTGTCCTTGCAACCACCTAAACGTGAAGAAATGCACAAGATAAAAAGAACATTGCACATAATTACGTACCTCAGCACTCCTTCTAGGTACTCAGTGAAAGCTGCTTCAAAACGATCATGCACGATGACCAGGTCCGGCGTATAGTTCGTTCCAGTACGACGAGCATTGAAAGCCTCTCTTACAGGAGCGCTGATGGACATGAGCGTAACAGCACTCAACAGTTCTGAAGCGCTGCGAAAGACATGGTCCTACAAAGCTGCAGTTTTCTTGGCGATGAGAACACAAACAGCTTCACTAAGAAGGAAGAAAGATATGCACCTGTATTCCATGCTCGCTTTTGGCTACTTCTTCAACTATCGTGGAGAGATAGCTGTTGGCTAGTGTATAGAATGGAAATTCATTCCTATGGAAGAAGCGAATCATTTCCCTGAGAAGCAGCCGCACAGGTTTGCAATATTCTTCACGTGCCATGATCATCTCTGATACTTCTTCACCAAGAATCTAAATTACCAGGTAGCGCCTCCTGCAAAGAAAAAACGAGCACTGACCTCAGCTGCTCTAATTCTATCAAACCCAAACAGACTGATCAGTATCGAAACATTATGTGGATGTCTGAAAGAGATGGAAAATATAGAGAACAACAAAGCTATGTTTCCTAATTGATCCTTGCAGACTCGTACACTTTATGCCATTGAGTGATGCACAAAAAAACAGAAAAGAAAAAAAGAAAGACGGATCAAAACAGATTCAAAAACATACCTGGACATGACATGTCCAAACTCATTTTCCAATAAAAGCTGGATTGTTGTACGCATATTGCAGTCATCCTTTCGCATTAGCATCTCTCGCAATGCGACAGTGAACACAGAAGTAACCTTAACAAGAATAAATAAATCAGCAAACAAGATATTGAAACTATGAAATTCACATTTTTGTTCTTCAGCATTCTCATTTGCAACAATCGTGCAAGGATCGATTTCTCTTGAGCTGAATCCGATGCATTACCATAGTTGAGACCAACAAGGATCAAAAGTTGCATGGCTAGTCGTTGTAGCTGAAAAAAAGGTAGACTTAATAATCAGACAAGATATGATTATAGGAAAAAGAGCAGCGAATGCCAGCTCACCTTGACATGCTGTAACCAACCATCGATTCTTTTCACTACATTGAATCTAACATCTGGAAGTGCCATGAGTGGCGCTAAGGCTCGCAAGAAAAGCATAGGCGTCATATCGGCTCGTAGCTCCCACCAAGGTGCCAGCGCATTCAGAGCTATGGCAGCAACTTCCTCCTTCGTTTGCGGAGATGGGAAACGATCGGTAGCGTTCTCAAGAGTAGATTGTTTGATAAAAGCAGTTTGAAAAAACTGGAAGGAACTGACTGAAAGAGCATCAGGTATAAAATCAACGTCGATTTCCAGATTGCATGAAGTGAACATTTCTTTAGTGGGATAAACAGTCCCCAAAGATCTGATAATTTGCGCGGAAATGAATGAGGTGTTTGGCTGGAAGAAAGGATATGAAAAATACTTTTTCAAATGCTCGGGACCAAAAATCGTTCACCTTGTTGACCCAATTCCTATCACCAAGGGAGTCATGAAGAAAAGCAGTGACATAATAAGGGTCCCAGGTAGCCTGAGCACTGGCTAGAGTTACAGTCATGGCAGAAATCAAAGCTTGCCGTTCAGCATTCATCGGCTTCATACGGCACATCAGATTCAGCAAGCATTTTTGGAGTGCGACGTGCTAATGGTGATAAATTATTTAAAAAAAAAGGAAGGGAACTCACTAGTAAGATAACACTGACAAATTTTCAGAAACTTGCAAAAAATTCTAGAAATGAAATACCTGGATTTCCTCACTATGCTCTTTGAGAGTAACTGCAGCTATTGTGAGCAATTGATATTCGATGAAGAACTTGCCCTGGTCGGCTTTTTTATCAATAAATGTACGAAAGGCGGCTGCTAGTAGTCGAGCCAGCTAAATCAACGAACTCCTAGCAACTGATACTACCACGAAGATTAGCAGAAAAATCCGAAATCCACTCACTTTATTGAACTTTCCTTGATCAATAGCTTCTTGTATCAGATTCGCATAAGTAGCAAAGTCAACAGTAGTCATCTCACAGAACTCGCGCCAAGATTCATCAAGAGGTGGACGAATTCCAAGTGAAGCAGTTGGTCCGCCTGTAATGCTATATTAGGCAGTCATAGCGATCTACACTTCTGTAAACCTAGTCGCTCTTAGCCGGAAATTTACGAACATATCACTAATTCTCAACAGTTCAGTAATTTCTGGAACGTTAAGATTTTTCAGAGACGCTGCCGACCAGCTGCAACACAGCTTTTCATATTTCAGCTTTTCAAGAGGAGTTCGAAAAATACAGGCAAAATGGAAACAGATTCAATATTTTTGTTCAAAATCTTGCCCGTGAAGATGCTCAATCTCTCATGAGAAAGTCAAGACTTCTTTGATGTCTTGCCTGCATTTTCCCGATTCCTTTCTAGAACGGGTAATGAGTATTGATTGTTGATCATGTAAATTAAATGCTTTGCTGAACTCACTGCTGCCTGCGCCAATTGCTATCGACGACGAGGATACCGATGGAAAAACAGGCTGAATTTATATATTAACTAGCTGGCTTACCCGGCTCCGCCGTATGTTCCGAATAGAAAATTCCATTTCTTAACCGATCCGGACCAAACATGGCACACATACACTTCGGGCCCCCGAGGGTGTCACAGTCCACTTTTCGTTATCGATCGATGTCGATCTTATCGATTTTTTGCAAAATTTGAGCTAGGGGGCTGGAATTTGGCAGAGGGGTGATCAGCATGCTCGATTACCCCCCCCCTGTGCCAACTCCCAGCCCTGTAGCTCCAATTTTCCAAAAAATCGATAAAATCGATATCGATCGATGACGAAAAGTAGCCTATGACACCCGCCGGGGCCCAAAGTGTATGTATGTGTGCCAAGTTTGGTCCCGATCGGTTCAGAAATAGAATTTTCTATTCGGAACATACGTACAGACATACATACATACATACATACATACAGACAGACAGACAGACAGACAAACAGACATTCAGCTTTATATATAAGAAGAACGCGACATCGAATAAACATTTCATGATTTGCTTCCAAAAAACAAAAAGCATGCTCAGCAAACCTTTGCATGTTTCACTGGTTTAGTGGCCAAACTTTTCGGTGCCAACACCCCGGTGGGTAAACTCTTCATTAATCCTTTCGCCTTCACCTTCGGTTTTAACGGTATCATCCTAAAAATATGCTACCATATCCGGCTAAAATAAGAAACTTGTTCCGCTAGTCTCAGACGAATCAAGAATAATTTCAAGCGTATTTGCACACAGTTCAGCTGGTCACCTTAGCAAAAAATAAGAGAGTAAAGGAAAAAAGATCAAATGGAAAGCAACAATTTATCGCAAGAATCGGACGAATGGAAAAGAAGTGCACAACTGCTATTGGGCCAACGTCTAGGTCAGAACATTCAGCAGAGACCCTGGCCAGACTTCGCTCAAAAGCGCTCAAAAGCGCCCAAACTTCTCTAACCTCTCCTCACTCTCTCTCTAATCTCTCCTGACACGAGAAAATGAAGAGACACCAAAGAAATTTGGGCGCTTTCGGGCGCTTCTGAGCGCTTTTGAGCGAAGTCTGGCCAAGGCCCAGAGTGATGGTGCAAACTGGATTATGGGCTTTGGCCATACTTTACCCATAAGTTACCATGTTGCCAGTGTTACTCGTGTTTGTTACCCGTATTACTCGCGTTACTAGTGTTACTCGTCTTACTCGTGTAACCCGTGATACTATTGTTACCGCTTTCACTGTTGAAGAGTGAAGTGATCACAATACAATCTCATTTTAAAACGCAATATCACTGACTGATGAGTGACACGAGTAACACCGGTAACACTAGTAACACTACTAACACGAGTAACACAAGCAACACGGGCGGGCTACACGAGCGACACAAGTAAACACGAATAACACGAGTAACGCTAGTAACACCGGTAACACGGGTAAAGTATGGTCAAAGCCGTATTTGTGCTTCTTCTTTCTGATCCGCATAAAGATGTACAAGATAACAGGAGTAAAACCTAAATCGTCGAAACAGTCCCAGAAATGAAGGTTCAAAAGTCCAAGTTCGACCAATTTTATGCAGTGAAGATTGTAATCTGAATAATAGATTTCTGATAAAATCAACCATGAAAACAGAGCTGCTACACTTCTAGTCTCAGAGGGAATTAACGTCTAGATTTTCATCAGAATCGCTCAGATACAGTTCAGTGGCGATGAAGGGTACTCCATTGAACTTTAGTAAAAGTGTTTTAAAACCCATTTTCATGATTCTTTAGCAAAACAGCTACTAATACTGGAAAGTGCAGCTTCGAAAACATATAAATCCCTTTCCAGTCAGTTCAGTCAATTTCTTCACTAAAGCTCAGTTTTTGAAATTTAAAATCTCATAAGGGAAGGATAACAACTTAGATTCACTTTTTGAGATAAGGCACATATATTTGGAATCAGCTTTGACCACTGATTCCAAAATATGTTGTTCCTAGCTGCTTAACGTTATTCCGAAATGACTTATTTATTTATTTATTACATACACTCTGGGCGTTCCTTAAAAAGACAAAAATACACAGTTACTCATACTCTAATACCACGATATCATCATGTAATTCGGGTCTAAGCATTCGGACTAGATTATTGGAAGTGTGATGAAAGCCTGTTTGTGACTGCTCTAAGACTGTAGTCAACAGAACTGAATTAGTGTGTTTCATGGAGATGGTACCCATGCCCCCTTTTTATTGACTTGCTATTATGAGTAACTAACTCGAAAAAAGTACCAGGATGTTGAACTAGCATCAGATTGATTCTTTCAATCTTGAAAGGCGGCATTACACAATTTTAAAACCACCTAGACGTCAGCACCGTGGCATCAGTACGTCGAGGAGCACGCAAACTTTGCATAGAAAAAAGACCATAACTCGCTTCAGAATAATGCTAAGCAGCTAGGAACAGCATATTTGCAATCAGCGTTCCAAGCTGATTCCAAATACAGTGTCTCATCTCAAAAGGAGAATCTAAGTTAGTATCCTCCTTATCAGTTGCATCTTACCTCGGTTGCAGGAACAAAAAGTTGATAGTACATACGGTACATACGTAAATTGCGGTTAAATTTTAGGCGTAAAATATAGCGCGGTGTGTAACTGCGGAAACGCACATTTAACTTCACGGTTGGCTTTGGATGCGGTAGCGATTTGACTTAGGGGGGGGGGAGGTCATTTTTGCCAACTTGTAGCAAAATAAACCACCGAATACTAGGGCAGCAACGTGTTGGTTTGGGGTCGCGATAATCCTTATCATATCGAGGGGATCGAATCATTGTAGAGCAACAATCTTGAAATTTGAGCATCGTCGTTTGCAATGATAGTGAAATCGAGAAACTACTGCGGCAGGACGGCCCGTCTCGCATACTGTTCAGGTGTTACTACACGAAGACCATCTAAACATATGTACTAACAAGATTGGTGGTTTGATAGGGACCCGTCATACTTCGCCGAAAAAAGCCCAAAAGCGCCCGAAAAGCCCAAAAAAGTCCAAAAGCGCCCAAAGAATCCCGAAAAAGCCCAAAAAAGCCCAAAAAGCCCGAAAGCGCCAGAAAGAGCCGGAATCATAGTTGCGATAGGGGAAGTGATGAACCTTACCCCCTTCACTTTGAGGCCAAACTCCCGATGACCCCCTTCACCTGGGCTGAGATTGGTATTGTACTCTGAGAATATGATAAAAATCGTATTAAAAGGTTTTGCAGGCTAAGTACCTCAAGCAACAAGTACACTCATAAATTTAGAAAGGAAACGGTATTAATGTTTATTTATATTATTTATTTATCCTCGTAGCGTTCATATGGAGAGCAGAAAGTGAGGGCACAAAATCAGTTAATTTTTGAAGCACATAAAATCCCTCATATCTCGCGGCACAGAAAACCTAGAAAAAAATCGACGGTCTACGTCGATTCTCCATGATCTCAGCTTTCGAATGGTATACAGCATGTTAGGGCTTCTTTGCTTCCCGGCTCTAAAAATCATTTGCTCCGGTAACCGATAAAAGCCAATACATTGGTGGAGCTGGGTGGAGCATGCTAATAGTAAATATCTCCGCCCCATTTTTGAAAACTGGTTAGTTTTTTCGCCCAGCAACCTATATACCATTCGAAAGCTCAGGAAAAGGGGATTCGACCTTGACTGTCATATTCTTTCTAGCCCCGCTCCACCGAGAGATACACCGCATTTTTCTGAAAACATGGTCATTTTCAACAGCAGATTTCTGCCAAATGAAGACCTAATCACTGCTGATTAGTTATCTGTGTTAAAGAGCAAGTCTTCACTAACAAAAGTAGACCGTCGACTTTCTCGTAGCATTCATTTGGAGAGCAGAAAGTGAGGACACAAAATCAGTTAATTTTTGAAGCACATAAAATCCCTCATAACTCGCGGCACAGAAGATCAAGAAAAAAGTCGACGGCCTACGTCGATTCTCCATGATCTCAGCTTTCGAATGGTATAAAGCATGTTAGGGCCTTTCTGCTTCCCGGCTCTAAAAATCATTTACTCCGGTGATACAAAAAGCCAACACATTGTATAGGTCGTCCCGAAAGTTTTTGCGCACGATTTTCAGAAATCTAACTTTTCCAACCGATTACTGCTTTCACTTTTATGTGAAAGGGTAAGTCATGCTCTTTATAACGACGTCTTATCGTTAGATGCTTACTAATGATCATCTATTGCATAGATAGGAGCGATAGGAGAAAATTGGTCAAAATTTAAATTTTCTGTGTAGGGCCATGAAATCGGAGACTTGCAACAAAAATCGAAGCAGTCAGTATTGTAAGTTCTTTCACCAGCTCTTTATGACAATGCAAAGTTTGCGCTGATTGAGGGTCTTTATGAAAAGTTATGATTTTCGAGCAAGCAATACGAAAGGGCGAATTTGGTTCATTTTGGCATTTTTCAGAAAATAATAACTTTTCATAGAGACGCTCAATCGGCGCAAACTTTGCACTGTTAGAAAGAGCTGGTGAAAGAACCTACAATACTGACTGCTCCCATTTTTGTTGCAAGTCTCCGATTTTTTATGACCCTACACAGAAAATTCAAATTTTGACCGATTTTCTTCTATCGCTCCTATCTATGCAATAGATGACCATTACTAAGCATCTGAGATGTCATTATAAAGAGCATGACTTACCTTTTCACATAAAAGTGAAAGCAGTAATCGGTTGGAAAAATGTGAAATTATGAATTTTTGAAAATCGTGCGCGAAAATTCTCGGGACGACCTAATAAGAGCGAGGTGCAGCAAGTTAATAGTAAAAAATGTGCTGTGGATCGACATCGTTATCAGCACTAACGGGAACGTGAGCGAACGTGTCTATTTAAGCGTGCTTATCGTTGTTATATGTTCATGTTTTTTGGTAAAAAGTGCGCTTTTGATTGGCAGTCAAGCCATCATTATTAGCACACACTCAAAAAACTATGGGAGATTGGTGAATTTCCACACCTTCACACAAAACCCGCCCATTTCTGGAATCTATACTCTGTAAACCTAGTGCTGAAGAAAGTCACTTTCGTGAAAACGCTTTAAACTCACCATACCTAATTCGTAGAGAATGGTTGTTTCAATGAATCAAAAACTTTGAGACATTCAGAAGAATAACATGTTATTAAAATATCCCTCAATGTTTTGGAAAGGTTGGCAGTTTGAAGAGGAAACGGCAGGCAGAATACTTTACAAAATCGCAGATGACTCGCATGTGTTCCAGTTCAACAGCGAGGCAGAAGGAGAATCTTACGCCGACGAATATGTTGTCGACATTGATACAGAGTTGACAATTGAGCGAAACTCTCTGATTTCCTACATAAGGAATCCAAGCAGATTGCCTGGTTTCAATGAGAAAATGTCCAGGATGTCCATTGCTGATCTTCACGTTGCTGAAGACTTCAAGGCTGCTAAATTCACAAACATGGATATGAACAAAAGGAAGGTGTTAGTACAAAGCATAGCTGCTGCTCTTAGATCCCGACTGGAGTGCGAACCCAGCTCTGTGCTTTATGCTTTTGGAAGTTATTCGCCTTGTGACATTATGACCTATGATATTGAAAAAAAAAACAACGCGCAAAATAGTATCTACTTTTTTCGGCTACTCCGCAGATGCTGTTAAAGACGAAGTTGAGCAGCTTTCTCATCAGCTAACAGGACGTATGCCAGAGGAGGTGAAGCCAGAGTTTGACAAGGCCCAAAAAGTATGCACTATTTCCTTCCCGTGTTGCGAAAGCATATGCGATCTGGCTTTTTTCCCATTACTTACCGCAAAAATTTGATGGGCTTACTGGCAAAGCTAGTTTCCATTCCGACTAGCACGGCAGAGGTGGAGAAAGAAATTTTCTATCTACTCTGTTATCAGAACACAACGCAGAAGTCGTACAACGATGGAGCAGTTAAGCAATTACTTAAGGTTTGTCAACCTTCTACTAAACATATTGTTATCTAAAAACTTCATTTAAAGGATTGGTATAAGTGGTCCAGACAGGCTGTTACCGTATGACTTTTCAAATATCCTAAAAGATGGTATGAAGAAACTGGTCACCTACCTGCTGACATTCCTAGTGCTACCAGAGGGCCAGGAAAAAAGCACAAACGCGCTTAGAAGAAGAAGAAAGTTTCAAATCCATTTTCGACTCAGAACGCTTTTGCACGCAATTCTACTTTTACTCCGATGACCTTTTGGAGGAAGAAGAAGATTTTTCAGGCAGCGAACTTGTTGTCTCTGACGTTAGCGATAGTGATATTGTTGATGGTGATGTTCAGGAATTGAAGTTGTTCCTAACTTGTACATCTTTTGGAATAAACCTTATTGCTTTCGTTTTTTGTTGATGCAATGAAACAGGAGCACAGATCTTTATAAAGTCAATTTTTTTAAATTTTTAATTTCTTTTTAAATTTTTTAATTTTTTTCCAATTTGTGCCTAAATAAGGTACAAATAAGAGCTCTTCGTGCCACGCTTTTTTACCTTTTCTCTCTTCCTCCCCCCCTAGACTCACATACCCCCTTCACCCTGGAAGGTCGGGAACAGCCGAGACCCCCTTCACCTGAGGAGAGCCCGGCTCCCCCTATCGCACCTATGGCCGGAATGTAGAAACGAACTTTTGGTAGAATTCTGACATTATCTCATCATGCGGACGACAAAAAATGACAAAAAGGCTCGATTGCGAAGTCAACGCACATGCCTTAGCGCCAAAACGTGTGAGAAGTGTTCCGGCTCTTTCTGGCGCTTTTGGGCTTTTTTGGGCTTTTTCGGGCTTCTTTGGGCTTTTTTCGGCGAAGTATGACGGGTCCCATATAAAAGGTGTCTCAAAAGTATGTAAACACTATACAGTCTGCCCCAATCCCAAGCAGGCCAAAATTAGCATGGTGGGAGTCCGCGACGAGAGGATATTGCGTCACGTCCACGGCTTGCTAGTCTGCTCTCTCCTCAATCACTGCGCTCTCTGCGACAGCGCGCGTATGCAGCGCAAAACCCCAGCGCTGCGAGCTCGTAGATTCGGCCTGATCCCGATTGGAATAGACTGTATAATCGTTAGTTTTCCTCCCACAAAGTCTTTTGCCGAATCCTGCGTACCATTCTGTAAGGCTAATTTTGATTTAGAATTATTGTATGGCTAATTTTGATTTAGAATTATTGTATGGAGTATACTGACTTATGAGACAGTATCTTCACAGGAATGCGGAGAATCAACGTGGATATAGAATCACAGAATCACAGACAGCTAATGCGTGTGATAGTTATTATGAGAACAAGGCATCTCTTTGCTTCACAGACATTCTTTGTATTATGTTTACTTATTTGAGGTTTATGTATATGTATTTGCTGTATATAAGCTAGCGGTTAGACAATGGTCACTGTCCTTTTTTGCTTTGTCATAGTGTAGCCTTTTCTCTGCACGACTTACCGTACGATAGGTTCTCCGCACTACACCATCATTAGGTAGCCGCAATTTGCCTGAACAGTTAGTTATCTTGTATTTCCACTTAGGATAATTGTAAGATTTAGTTTAGCAAGTTTGCGCATTTTTGTTATTTGTTAGTCTTAATGAAGGTTTAGTTACCCAAGTTTGAGGTACTCGAACCGACTCGCGCACGTCCCCAAAGTCCAGCGTGGCAAGCTAGCTGACACACGTGTCAGTTCATGGAGCAACTCATTGATGCTCTTCATTTTTTTTGGGACTACCGCAAGAGAATTGAGGAGGGTTTTGAGATCTTAAGAGCCGCATTTTGCATAACACATTGACGACCAAAGCCTTTCTCGGACCAGCCAACAATTTTCAGATAAAATCACACACAATTCCATCTACAGTACACCTACAGAAGCGCTGGAATGCTGGCAAAAATAGTAGAGGTTGTATCTAGATCCAGCATAAAAGAAAATCCCAAAGTTGGTTTGAAACAAATTAATAGCCATTCCAATGGGGGTTATGGTGTCAAGCCTTGACATACCGTGTGTGTCAAGCCGTCAGTGTGGTAAAAAAGGAAAAAAAAGTCGAAAATTTTACATTAGACTTTTACAGTCAGTTACTTCAGACATAAAATTCGCACTTAATCCTGATGATTTCCTCACTTGTCATGCCATACGCATACAACAAATGTTTTTAAATGTTTTTCAAGAAAGTAATTACAGATGTGAAAAGCTTGAAAACGTGAAAAGTTGCGTAGTGAAAGCAGCATACGTAAAAACTGCCACGCATTTTTTAGATTTTTTCAAAGAAATTCTGGCAAGCGTCTCATTTCCCAAGCTCTATACGCTGGAAGTTCTTACCATAATCCTATAATAACAAAATGATGGTGATCCGCTTTCTGCTGTAAATGTAAGCTGAAGCCAGCTATACAGAATGCTGCCCGAAAGTTAGGTGAATTCTGGGTTGGCAAAAGACTTTGGGAGGAGGTATCAGCAATCTAACAGTGTGTAGGTACTTTTGGGGAACCCCCTATATATATATGACTTGCTGGCAAACCCGGCTCCGCCCGGCCCTGTCAATAATATATTCGTAATCAGCATGCTCACTTACCCCCTGTGCCAACTCCCAGCCCCGTAGCTTGAACTTTTTGAAAAATCAATAAAATCGATATCGATCGATGACGAAAAGTGGCCTATGACACCCGCCGGGGCCCGAAGTGTATGTGCCAAGTTTGGTCCGGATCGGTTCAGAAATGGAATTTTCTACTCGGAACATACGTACAGACATACAGACAAACATACAGACAGACAGACAAACAGACATTCAGCTTTATATATAAGATTCGGTGCTCATCGAAGCGATTGCTCGAAGAACATCGAATAATCGATTTATGACCATCAAATATCCGATTGTATAATATTCGAAAGTTGACATTGTCGAATATTCGACTTGCGAATAATATTCAAAGATGAAAATTTTGAATATTCGACTATCAAATACTATAAACCTCAGATCTTTAAATAATCGAGTTTTTGAATCATTTGCATCCTATTGGTTCATTTGAATAATGGAATAATTATTCGATTTGGTCCAACTTATGGTGCACAGCTTTCATTTTTGCTTTTTTGTGTAACGTTGTAAGCTTCACTAGAACAAATCTGTCTTTGGATGGAAAAATCTTTAACCTTTATATCCAAGCTTCGTGGCAATTAAGCATTATCAATGAGCATTACATATTTAATTAACAACATTACATGATTTCAGTTTCTTCTATTTTCAAAATTTTCAAAATTCATTGATTTTCAGCTTGTTAATCTGTTTCCTTCGATTGTGTCGTGCTTTCCTTTGCCGTCCCGCTGCGCCCCTCCTTGCTGGCAGTACTTGTTTTTGATTGTGAGCTCTTTTTATTCTCTTGCTTTCGCTCAACGCGAAGATGGAGTGGCTCTGGAGAATTTTGAAGTTTTTTGATCGTTCTCAATTTTCTTGTGGTCAGTATAAGGAGTATAATCAGTAAAATGATCACGACCACTAGTGGTACAAGTATGAACAGGAAAACAACACTGAAATACATTTTTAGAGTGAAAGTCGCTAGGAAAAAATCAGACGCGTACAAATTGCGTTCCTTCTCTTTTTTATATTGCTCTCCATCACTAATATGCCGCTCGGTATAGCTATAATTCTTAGACGCTGAAATAATGTTTAGTTAGTTGGTTATAGGTCTAGTTTGAGTACAGAACAGCAAAAATTACCAGGGTGTCCCATAACTTTTTACCGTCTTTACTTTATCGCCCACTAGCTTATATATTTTTTGTATGAATAGGTTCTGCGGTACCATTCGACAGCAGAACAAGCTCTACAAGACAGCACCCAAACATATGCTCAAAGTTTGTTCTACATCAAGTTCGAAGTTGAATTTGGAAATGGAGAAAAATATAATTCTCATGTTTTTGCCAAAACTGCGTTGGGCTGCTCCTACGTTGGTAATTCTATAATATGAATCGGAAGTATAACAATAGTTTGGCTTTTCAATGCAAGTAGTTTTCAAGAAATATCAAACTCAACACAGAAAACCCCGTAAAAAACGACTTTTTCGTACTTTCAGTTTACTTTGGTGCTGTATGCTTCTGTTCTAGCCATGAAAAAGTTAAGTAAATTCACATAAAATTTACCTATAAGTTTCAGATATAGAGAAAACGTATCTGAGCAGGTAGGAAATCCGTAAAAGTTTTGAACGGAGATACGGGGGGGAATGTACTCCGCCAGTTTCGCTGGCAATTGGTCCTTTTGCGATATTGTGCATGTCGTTGCAGAATCAGTAGCCCGAGTTCATTCCCTTACTCCCGAGACATACTTTTTTTTCGTCTTTTTGGGCATATAAATCTTCTTATATTTCGGCTTCGAACTATAGTAGAGGAAACTTTGAGCATATGTATAGAGACCGTCTAGTAGAGCTTGTTTTGCTCTGTTGAATATTGCAAAAGCTGTTTAAGAAACAAGAAGAATAAGAGTTATGCGAGAGAAATTAAAAACGTCAAAAATTTTAGGACACCCTAATATTATCGTTCCAGCATTGCGGGCGGAGTCTTGGAAACCTTGGCTTTCTTTGACATTTCTGTCAGTGTTGTTGTGAAAGGGTGATCATCGATTCAGCAACCCCGCAATGTTCCGTTCAATCTACGGCGTAAGTCAAAGTTGGTAATGGAAAAACGTACTCGGAGTGTTAGATGTTACCAAAACAATCGAGCTTGTAAGAGCAGCTGTTGTTGCAGGAGTCGTTGTTGTAGATGTAGATGTAGATGGTGTAGTAGTTGCAGTAGTAGTGGTCGTGGTAGTCGTAGTGGTCGTGGTTGTGCTTGTGGTTGTAGTGATGATCGCTAGATAAACATAACGATGTGAACACAAGATTTGCATCAAAGTCTTACAAAAACGAAATGAGCAGCAAATTTTTCATGCTATGCAAACTTTTGACTCTAAGGGGTCACCGCTATTTGCGGTATGTAGTTATTATTGTTGAGTTTTCCTTATAGCTGATGTTGTTATTTATCAGCTAACTGCAACCTCAAGTTCTTTTTCTTCAAAGTTTTAAAAGTTAAGAATAGCCATGGATATTGCCAATGAATTTTGACGATACCAAAAAAGTCTAATGCTAGCTAGCTTTGTACATCTGTAGGTACACTAAAGCTAGTTCACTAACAAGGGAAGCTTGTTTAGTCAAAGTGGCCTTTCTAAATGAGATGTATACCATACTGAAGGGCACAAAACGCTGATTCCAAATCTGCCTTCATTATCTGCAGAGCATTTCTGCACGAAAAGTTACGAGCGTTTTTTAAAGCTAAAAATTGAACTTGCTTTCTGGTAAAATGAGTTGCTAACGTCTTACTAGCCCTCAAATAATGCAACTAAGTATGATATATTTTTCATTTGAGAGTTTCAAATAAAGTGCTCTGATGATTGTCAGTGCTCCATTGAAGAGCTAGAAAAAGTATTACGGCTATTTTTGTCCTACTTGCACCTTCAATTTTTTGCCATAATTCCATAAACGCTCTGCAGATAAGGAAGGCAGATTTGGAATCAGCAAATTATGCCCTTTATGGTGTACGTCCCATCTAGAAAGGCCACTTCGGCTAGACATCTTATATATAAAGCTGAATGTCTGTTTGTGTGTATGTCTGTATGTCTGTACGTATGTTCCGAATAGAAAATTCCATTTCTGAACCGATCCGGACCAAACTTGGCACACATACACTTCGGGCCCCGGCGGGTGTCATAGGCTACTTTTCGTCATCGATCGATATCGATTATCGATTTTTATCGATTTTTTTTGCTGAGTTCACCTACGGGGCTGGGAGTTGGCACAGGAGGGTAATCGAGCATGGGGATTCCGAATACAATATTGGTTTTCAGGATTATCGATTACTTTTATCGATTTCATCGATTTTTTGCAAAGTTTGAGCTACGGGGCTGGGAGTTGGCACAGGGGGGTAATCGAGCATGGGGATTCCGAATACAATATTGGTTTTCAGGATTATCGATTACTTTTATCGATTTTATCGATTTTTTGCAAAGTTTGAGCTACGGGGCTGGGAGTTCGCACAGGGGGGTAATCGAGCATGCTGATCATCCCCAAGGGGGGGGGATCAGCATGCTTGATTACACCCCTGTGCCAAATTCCAGCCCCCTAGCTCAAATTTTCAAAAAATCGATAAAATCGATAAAAGTAATGGACGATCTTGAAAACTAATATTGTATTCGTAATCTGTATGCTCGATTACCCCCCTGTGCAAACTCCCAGCCTCGCAGGTCAAACTTTACAAAAAAATCGATAAAATCGATAAAAGTAATGGACGATCCTGAAAACTAATATTGTGTTCGTAATCAGCATGGTTGATTACCCCCCTGTGCAAAATCCCAGCCTCGCATGTCAAAATTTACAAAAAATCGATAAAATCAATAAAAGTAATCGATAATTCTGAAAACTAATATTGTATTCGGAATCCCCATGCTCACTTCCCCCCTGTGCCAACTCCTAGCCCTGTAGGTGAACTCTGCAAAAAATCGATAAAAATCGGTAAAATCGACATCGATCGATAACGAAAAGTGGACTGTGACTCCCGCCGGGGCCCGAAGTGTATGTGTGCCAAGTTTGGTCCGGATACGGCGGAGCCGGGTAAGCCAGCTAGTGACCTTATAAGTAAAAAAGAATATGGCCTTTCTCGACGAAAATGTTAAGAAAAAACATAAAGCCCAATACTTTTGGAAAGTATTATTATCATTCGATGTTTTATTTCATTTTTGAGCGGCTACGTTTTCGGTTTTCTAGCAACCACTAACGAAAAGGAAAATTTTTATACGGCTATTTTTAGAACTTTTCCTTATTGAATTCCTCCAGCGGAGCATTCCTATATCTGCAAAAATATGTCGTAACTCTTAGACCACTTCAGCAAAATTCTCGAGAACCCATCTGATTCCATGTTCAGGGCACTCCGATGGTGTCATCTGAGACGCTATCAAAGACTAGGAACTTACTTCCCGTTTAACAAGAGAACGAGACATGATAACCAACATCGCAAACGTCAAAGGCACCGTCCAACCAGATTCTCGACTTCCACGTTTTTGTCGTTCCAGGGCCTTCTCATGTCCCTGATTCCGAATATGAAGACGAAAATGTGCGAAAACCCCGACAATCTCCCCTCCGGAGAACCCACAGGCCGGCTTTCGGGAACGGTGATTGGAAGGGCGCGCACAAGTGGGCGGGCATGGATGGGGGAGGGCGGGCATGGAGGGGGTCCTCGTGCATCATCGCTTTTCCGAAGAGATTTTCTCGCTTTCGAAGCGGCACTTCGCGCTGCGAATTGGGCACTAGATTGATAGGGGGCCCTACTATTATATGCTACCGAAAGCTCAACACCCTCAACTTAGGGTGGACGGTGCCTTTAAAGTGTAGCCCTATCACCGCTGCGTATCTTAATGTTTTCTCTTATAGCGTGTAGAAATTGCGTCCTGCAAGGTCCGCGGCTCGCTAGAGTAGTTCTGTCGCTGGTCAAGTGTGGAGGCTTGCCAGACAATAGCGTGCATGGCCCCCATTGAGGCCCCGAAGGTCAGACATGGGCGGTGCTCGATACGGGCCAAGGTTTGCCTGATGAAGAAACTCCGTTCGAGGTTTGCCCAAAAACTAAATATGCAGCGCGTTGTAAGTTTCGAGGCTTGTTCGAGTTTTTTCCTAAGCCGCAGGTGTTCCGATAACATGGGTTGGAGGCCTTTCCCTCGCGATAACATTGAACCGCCGGGTCAGTGAACAGATAGAGCCTGGCCGCGGATGGTCAGTCTGAGAACTCAAGGCATGCCTTCGTTACCTAAAGACTTTAGGTAACGAAGGCATACCTTCGATAGTCTAGGGACAGGGCGTCAAAAGTGAAAGTTGTTTGGACATCTGACCTTTTTTAAAAAGTGAAGGTTGTTCAAAGAAGATCAGAGAAGAGAATATGACGTAAAACAGATATAGAAAGCAAAAGAAACTGCTGAAAACCTGATAAAAGCGCTGCAATTAGGTTTGAGATCTTTTCTTTCTTTGGCGGCTTCTTAATGTGCAAGCTTTCGCTCCGGAACCAGCGATTCGCAACACGGTGAAAAGCGAAGAATGACTATTAGGGTGATCCAAAAGTAATGGGGCAGCTAGGGAATAAATGCAGTTTTCTCAAATAGAAAAGCTAATTGGAAGTCCAAGTTTTGGCAGAAGTTAGTACATAACAGAACCTTCTGATCGAGGTCTATAGTTGGGCACTGTCACGTGGCGTTGTTTTTATGAACCCTTAAAATTAGAGCTCATCACTTCAAGTAATTTTGAACTTTGAGCAGCAGCGCCGCAGTAAATCAAGTGAGCCTACCAAAGATATGTGCGCAGCGATGGGTGAGGGGACTGTCACCAAACTCACAATAGCTCGGTGGTCCTAAGGCTTTAGAACAGAAGATATAGCATTGGGTATCAGGAGAGATATTACTTATTCTTTCATCAAGGTAATCAAATAAGCCTAAACTTAGCAGTTGCTTTCTGATAGTGCTTTTTACGCTCTATCTATACATATGCAAATTAGTTCGACTTTTCTCATTTTCAAAAGATTGTGGTCCAAAACATGAATTTTAGTCTGAAAATCTGCGCCAAACACCGCACTTTTTCGAATGAAGTGCCTCTTTTTATAAAATGATAGGCAATTTTTGGATATTCAAGTAATCATTGAAAAGAGCTTGGAAAGCTCTTTTGAATGGTATGCCATATGTCGGAGGACTATCAGGTGCAGGAGCCCAAATTCGGATGGCGTTCAAAAAAGTCTGTCTGACTTCTTTGAAGCGCCACTCGAAGAAATGTCGGTGAGGTACTGCAAGGTGCTGTCAAGATAACCTGCGAAGGTCACTTTATACAAAGGCGTTAAAAATGCTGGGCGTTCATAGCTAATCAGAAAGAAATCTTAAAGAATGTTGAAAAAAATCAAGGTGCCCCATTACTTTTGGATCACCCTAATAATTTCTTTTCTGTGATGGTTTAAAAACCATGTTTAGCAGTCAATGGTTGTCAAGAAGAAGACAAACAAGAAAGAAATTAGTTATGAAAACGCAAATTTCTTTTTTACTAAGTCGAAAGAACGGAAGCCAAGTTTGATTTTTGATGCGTCCTTTGAGTGTTTACCCCCGCATTGACGTTTCCGTGTATGGTAGAAGAAAAGGTAAAGAAAAACGCACTTTTTACGATTTTTCACAAAAAATTCCACCATAATCGAAAAGGTAAGCACTGAGTGATTGTCTGCGTTATGAACAGAAGCGAGATCTATAGAATCCACAGAAAAACCGCGTGAAAAGAGGTAATAGGAGAAAAACAAGAGATTTTAGAGAAAAAAATAAAAAATTTTGCCGGATTTTTCGACCAAATCAAAATGTGGTTTTGGGACCTTGTCAGCGTGAAAATAGAGATCAAGAGCATCAAAATGATATACAGCTTGCTATAATTGGGTTAGAAACAACAAGGAAAAGGGTACTAGAGCCAAATGCCCCGCGCCCCGCGTTTGGGGTAGCGAGGTAGCGCGCAGCGCGCGGAGACGCAGACGAGCAGCGGAGACAGACCAGAGCCGACGGGGCATTTAGCTCTGGTCGTAGTTCTCAGCGGGGTCTCAACGAAACTTTGAAACATTATATATTATTCTGATCATCATGACACGACGAGGAGAAATGACAACGTCCCAAGCTTTCAAAATCATTCATTAACGAGATAGACCACCGTTTTCGTGCGCGACTCTCTGCGCAAGATTTGAGCGCAATTTATTCAACTCCAGCAGCTTTCCAAAACTTCTGAAACTCGATTTTGGACAAATAAGAGGTTAGCTAACAAGGGAGGTCCGTTAGGTCGAAATGGCCTTTTCATATGAAAGCGATACCACTTCAAACAACATCAAACGCTGATTCCAAATCAGTCTTCGTTATATGAAGAGCTCCTCTGGACGTCGAGTTATGAGCGTTTTTTTCTGAGTTGAAAAATTAAATGGTAATTAGCATAAAATTCGTGAAAATTGCTTAAATAGTTCATTGTTGATTATCAGAGCATTCTGTTTGAACAATACCTTCTGTCTAAAACGCTCATACTTAACAGTGCTCTATTTGAGCGCTGGAAAGACCTAAAATTTGATTTTACCTAGAATATGCGTTCAATTTTCGTACAAAGGAAATACTCATAACTCGGCACACAGAGGGGCTCGGCAGATAATAAAGCCAGATTTGGAATCAACGTTGGAAGCTCTTCAAAACGGTATGTGACTCATCTGGAAAGGCCACTTCGACCAATCGGACCCCCTTGTAAGAAATGTTGTTCTGAATTTTGGCGAAAATTTCACAAAAACCTTTTTTTTTAATTTATTTATTTCATACACGCAAACGTGTGCCAAAGCCTGGGTGAGTGACGAAAACAGTGCTAGAGTAAGAGACTAGCCTGTCACCTTTCACTAGAACAAACAAACAGCGAATAAAGGCCTAGGTATTGAGGAAGAAAAATCTCTATTTGGTCATGGGAGGTCAGGTGATTGGCTTTGGGGGATGCCACTGCCACTTTCCCGGGCTGTCCAAAACGCCTGCGATTGGTTCCTGCCAGGTATTCACCAACCTGACACCACCGGCGCTTGGATACACCTGCCTTATTCTAGAAAAGCCATGCATGAAACGCAGCTGTCTACGGTCCCAAGGCACAATGCTGTTGCTTAATCCGAAAGTGGGTGACAATCCAGCACAGCATGGTTGGTAAACACGATAAATCGAGAAACACGAACACAACAAATCGAATAAAAACATGAAATCGTGAAACGACGTAGTAGGAAAGAGCTTCACGAAAGCGGCTGTCGTAAAAGCGATGTGGGGAAAGCAAAGTCCGAAACACATGAGTCGACAAGCGAGGGCCAGCAAGAAATAGACCAGGAACAGGCAGACCTGTAAGGAAAACAGACCAGGGACAATCACAGTGAATTGTTCAATAATTGGCAAATGTCAACTTTCCTCAGTTTCCTTTTGAAAGCTCCACAGTTGTCAGCACTTAAAACTTCGCGAGGTATGCACCGTAACCATCTAGCTCCCCGACAAAAGATATGATTGAATAACAAGTTGTTCCTCTCAACTTTCGGGTAATGCAAGTTAAAACCACCGTGTCTATCGTAAGCAGGAAAAAGATCCAGTAATCGCTGGGATTCAACTTGACTTCACTTTTCAGAACTCTGAAGCAAAACAAGAGGTCGGATTTAACTCTTCTGCAAACAAGAGATTCAAGTTCCAGCTTCTTCAAGCGGTAACAAAGTAAAAAGTTTAGAAAAATAAAAAGAAAAAAATAAAAAGTATTTTTTAGTAAAAAAAGCTATGAAAACGCAAATTCTCGGTTTCGCTGAGGTAATCTAAAGATACTATTCTCTATAGTGCTTCATTAATATTCGTTCCGATATAGTAAAAATACTAACATCCGAGGCTTCGCCCCCAAAGACTTTTTTTAGGTGAAGGTTGTGTTCCCTTATAGCCTTCAAAGTGAAGGTCACCATAGTACTCGCTCTATGTATCGAGGTTATGCCTAGAATCATGTACTATGATGAACTTCACTTTGAACGATTTATGAGAACATAACCTTCAACAAAAAAAAGAAGCCCTACGAGGCTTTGCCCAAATGTTAAGATCATGACTATATCGGGATGAATGTGACTGAAGCAAGTATGGTGAGTAACTCAGATTATCTAGAAACCGAAAAAGTGCGTTTTTATAGCCTTCTTTAGCCTTGCTAAAAAAGATCTTTTCAAACTACGATTGGGTTTCAATCTTACGAAAGCAATTGAAGCTCTAGAAAAGAGATGCGCTTAACTTTTGCGCAGGGAGTCGCGCACGAAAATGCTAGTTTATTCCTTTAAAAAGGGTTTTCAAGCTTGCGACGCTTCAGTGCTCCTAGCCGCGGTCATAATGATCAGAATGATAAAATAATGTTGCAGAGTTTCGTGACCCCGCGGAAATCGAAGACCGGAATCAAATGCACCGTCGGGGTGTAGGGCCATTCAAACTCAAACAGTCGAAGGGATACCTCCGGAGGGCAAATGGCAAGGGTCTGCCACTTCTGCTCCGGAGCCCTCCCATTTCACCCATTTTGGTGCTCCGGGGCTCCTCCATTCTGGCGCACCCCCGAAGCAGAGATTTGCGAGCCCCGGGGAGGGGTCCCATTCGCCTTCTTGTGACGTTACGGCGAAACGGTCACTGCTTTCTTGTGACGTCACGTCACGGTCACTGCAAAACTTGAGCAGCTACAGTAGCCTAAAAAATGTGTAAGTAAAGCATCCTGTTTACTAAGGACCTAGAAATAAACAATATACGACGTAAAAAATAGTCTCAAGAGCTGTTTGGTCTCCCCGCTGCGCTGACCCTAGTCCACGCTGAGCTGCGCGGTTTGAGGACATGTTCGCTCGTGCAAAAGTGAGCTGGTCGACAAAATTTTCAACATAAACTGAAATTTTCACATGTCCTACTTCAATTCGTCTGTTTCGCCTTCTTTAAGAGGTCCCGCTCCTGCTCTCTCTTCCGGGCCGTCTTACTTTGTCTAATGAAGATCTCTTTATGTTTCGAAGACTATTCCGGGGCTAGACAACTATTTCTTAGTAGTCTAGCCCCGGAAAAATTGTGACTTAGGGACCTTTTGTTGGTAACATAACTTTAACCAGGTAAGCCTTGTCCACTTCTATCTCCCCCATACGATAAACCTTCCAGTCCGACATTCCACGTCGACTCATCTCCCCAATATTTATTGGAATTTCAATGGTGTATCATCTCACTTCCCGTATGTTTAGATCCGGAAGTTTTCATAGATAAAAACGGAGCTGATCTCGAAATTATTAATTTTACCCTGTAAGTAAGCGAGTTGATAAAGGGAAGAGTGTCGTTGAAAGAGCAGACGGAAGGTTGTATGCGGCTGGAGTTTGATTTTGCGCTGTGATTTAATGATTTTGCAAGAAAGATTGTGAATTCGAATAGGGATATGACAGACGCATAAGGTTTCGATCACAACACCAAAAAATTTCAAAAATTCAAAATGAAGTTCAACTCAGTCGAAACACAAGAGATGGGATAGCTCTGGTTCGTTCAAAAAGTTTGGCGGAACATTCTGACGCAAAAATATAAAGGATAATCCACGGATTGGCACGAAACTATGAACAGAGAGTCGAGGGAAACATGAAAATAACAATAATAACAAACAATAATCCACTTTCAATGCTAGTCAATCAATAGAATGGTTATATAATGCTGGAACTGTGGCCTTTCAGAACAACAGTGCCCCAAACTTCTATCGGTTGAAACATAGGCTTATGCGCGACTGAACCACTTCATCAAATCGAGGGATTGATTGCAGTCGAAGAACGAGGTAGCAAGGTAATGAACGGTGAAAATAATGTTTTGAATCAACGGACGATTTTAGTATTTCGTACAGCTCGTGGTTATGGTTTAAGGCTAGTAAGCGCGAGAAAACCTAAGGGGGCCCCTACATGCTACAGTTTTGTTTTGCAGAATGCTGAACATAATGTGAGGATGAATGATATGAAATTCGCTTTATAAACTTCTATCGATTTTCTTATCACTCATTTCGCTTTTGTCATGGGTCAAGAAATGGTGAACAATGCAAGATGCGAGTAACGCCACGAAATACACGCTAGAAACCCAGGAGAGTGAAAAATTTACTTACGCAGTGAGGGAAATGCAGCTTTTAGCTCTTCGTATCTTTGGATCACGCAGACGACAGTCCTAAATTACTTTACATTGAAGCGTTACTTGATAACCATCCAGATTTTCTATGACATACTTCATTTCTTCGGGGAAGATATTGCTCCAAAGGTAATCAGTCAAAGTCTGCTGGAAAAATGGACCCATTTCGTAGAATGCGTCCTTAAAATGAGTTATATAGAGCTTAAAGATACCTTCAACCAGGATTCGTCATGGGATAGATGTTTACGTCTTCTGCACATCAAAGCTCCCAAATGTGATACTGTGCAGTAATCATTCTGCAAAACAAACACTTTTAGATGTTTTATTGGATAGAGAAACAGGCTAAGTAACGGCGACAGTCTCGCACAGTGCCTGCTAATCAGACCACCACGCACCAGTAGCGTACCCAGAATTATCGTTGGGGAAATGGGGAAGAGTTTTTCGGAAGCGTCTCAGAAAATTTTCTGCGAGGATTTTCGTGGGACCATAATCATATGAAAAATTTTTTGTACAGCGCTGATTTAAATTTACAAATTTTTTTGAAATCATTTCTAAAAGTATAAACAAGTATTGGCACATTTTTAGCCATCTGTTGCTTTGTGACTGACACGCTCGTTGCAAATACATGCAAGCTGTCGCCGTTGCACAGCCGGCCGATGAAAGCTTACGTTGTCGCTTGGTGGGTTTCTGATGTAAAAGAGCGATACTCTTATATCCCAATTAGAGCAACTGTTTTCTCCGAAGAGAGAACGCATTGAGAAGTTGAATTTGTAAACTGCTTGTAAATTTATACCGTCCTCTGTCTGCTGGAAAGTATAGTTGATTTTTGTGCTTATTCAAGTCTCTATTGGCTCCTTGACGTTTTGGCTATATGTCGTCCTCAGAGGACTAAAAAGGATCAGCCACTTTTATATCTTTCCATGCTACCAAAAAACTCTCCAACTGTGCACTCAATTCGGCTAGTGTGGAATTCGCGAGAAATGGGTGCAGCATTCCATCCAGCGAGGTATCACTGTGGAACATATGCGGTGGGATAGCTAGGTCGGTATATAATGTCCTTGCGGTGCCGTTTTGAGAATTCATGTGTATTTTACGCCTGAAATGCCAGCCATTTGCTCGCGAAAAGTGCCGGCACTTGAGGCCTATTGACGACTCCGAAATTGTGGAGAGGCGGATTCGGGATGGTCAACAAAGATCCAGGGATCAGGGTCGGTAGTAAACCTGTCGAAACGCGCAGCTCAAACTGTTAAATTAGAGTTAACTCTGAGTTAACACGCACCTTTCAGGGACCATTAACACCTGCATAAACAAACCAAATTGGGGAAAGAGTGATATGGCAGGATACCGTGCAAGACGTACTTTATGCCAAGTATGGAAACGTAGCGTAACTCGTTTCCATGCGAGACGCTACGCGAGTTAACGCACAGCTGAGCTGCGCGTTAACTCTGAGTTTGGTGCGCGTTTCAGGCCGCGCGAAACTCGGAGTTAACTCCGAATTTGGTTAGAGAAATAGAAATAGTGTGCAAAGGTGCAGAGGTGTAGTTAAAAAAGTCCTCCGTGGTGCATTTTGCTCCAGTTTCATCGAGCATGATGGTGTATCATGGTGCACCGTTGAACATAAAAATTTGGAATTTTGTAAAATTTTGGTCCCGGGGGTTATCGGACGTGCTGATCACGAATCCGATGCTCATTTTTCGCCATTCGCCCACATGGCGAGGTTACGGTAGATACGGTAGTTGGGGCGAAAGTCATGAAATTGGCTGAAACTTGGTAAGTGGGGTAATTTGGCACGCTGATCATGAATATGATAGCCATTTTTTGCTAAGGGGACACAAAGCGGGATTACGATAGTTATACGGTAATTGAACGAAATTCACGAAATTATCTGAAACTTGGTACAGTGGGGTTATTTGGCAGGCTTACGAGAATGATGTTCATTTTTCAACCTTCGCCCACATAGCACGGTTATGGTAGGGCACGGTAGTTGGGGGAAAATCACAAAATTGGCTGAAACTCGGTATACTTGGGTTATTTGGCATGCTGATCACTAATATGGTGTTCATTTTTCGCTACAGGGCCACAGAGCCGGGTCACAGCAGTCTTACTGTAGATGGGCGAAAATCACAAAATTGTTCGAAACTTGATGAGGGGGGGGGGGGTAATTTGGCACGCTGACCACAAATATGACATTTATAGTGACTGCGGGTCCATTTAGCGAGGTTACTGTAGGTATATGGTAAACAGGAAAATGCCACGGAATTGACTAAAACTTGGTCTGGCGAGGTTATCAGGTGCCCTGATTGCGGATATATTACCCTGTTTTCCGGCGTATAAGCCGCAATTATTTTCGTTGCGCGCGGGCTGATGTGCGATGATGGTCGCGATGTGCGAAGCTGCGCAAGCACCCAACCATCACCTATTCTACCTAGTAGCCTAATTGTAACTTTCTGCTTTCGCTCTTTCTTGCGAAAGCATGAAAGCACCATTGAAACATCAACATCATCATCAACAACCATTAGAATTGAATGAAATAGCAGCAGCTTTAACTTCAGTAACATTTTTAAAAACAAAAGAAAGTACAGTCAACTCCATTGTATCCTTGAAAAATTGTCCAAATCCTTGGAAAGAATAAAGAAATACCTGAAGACGTGAACATGTGCAATGAAAAGCAGTCACAAAATGCAGCAAGTTTTCAGTTTGTTAGATCAAAAACTTTCTTTTCGAAGGCTCTTTCGCGCCATTGTTCGCTGCGGCGGGTGAGGCTTACAACACATTCACGACAATACGACCCACCGGTGGGTCGTACGCTTTCTGAAGTTTTTGATTTTGCTAGTTCACGGTGAAACTTTTTAGGCAAACCGAGTAAACTCCTGTATACACGTCTCGGAGTACTTCCCAAAAGATTAACAATTCAGACCACAGGACCCATCAGTGACCTGAAAATATCACGCAAATTCAATTTCGCAAAATATGCTCTGGTCCGAAATGGCAGTCTTCGAAAAATCGGCTCTGTCGTGAATGTGATAAAATGGAAAATAGGGTAATTCATTTTCACCGCGGAGAGATAGAGCAGGGTTGCGGTTGGAATTCCGTGATCAAGTCAAAGAACATGATAGTTTAAAATTGGCTGGGTCAGTGGCGTTATGCGGTGTGTTGACCACGATCATATTGCCCATTTTCACTGCAGCGTTGTACAGCGGAGCTATGGTAGAGTTACGGTGGATTGCGATTGATAAAAGCACACATGCAACGAAACTTTGCATCACAGATATCATAGCCGCATGGAAATTATTTCCATAAAAGGGTTTCGGTGGATTTACGGTAGATGGGTCAAAATATCTTGCCTAGAACTTTGCTTGCTAAATACTTTGCTACCAGTGTCGGACGCAGGATTTCCGTCGGAGGGGGGGGGGGGGGGAGGGGCGACGAAAAATATTTTCGAATGGTGCGTAACGTTAGCCACGCACTCCGAAAATCTTTTTGGGGTGCTTCTCAGAATTTTTGCCGGCCCATAACCTCCAAAATCTAGAAAAAGGGGCGTGGCGGCAGCCCCCCCCCCCCCGAAAAGTTTTTTTTACAGTGCTAATTTGAATTTTTAAAATTTTTGAAAATTATTCAATTGTGTGCAAGAACTCGCCGTATTTATCACTCACGTAATTTCAAGAATTGGCACTCTTCCCCGCTCAGTCCGCCACTTTTAGATTCGCGCCAATTCTTTTCCACTGCAGGACTATGCGATAGAGTTAAAGCAGGTGTGTGGTAGACTAAGCTGACTGAACTGCCTAATTTTTCGCGGCTCACTTGACAGTGCAATCATGAATGCTGGCCTTTTTCAATGAGGATTATTACGGTGGGCATGTATAGAATAGTGGCGAAAATCTCAGGTTTAGCTAAACTTTTTTAGCAAAGAAACAATGATATCAGGTAGTACTCTTCGATTTTTACTTCTAAAATATTTTATGTACTTGTTGATAAAAAAGAATTATTTGAAATTTTTTGTATTATTCAGAGGTTTTTTGAAATTTTAACTTTGATCAAATGACCTCTAGACTTTGTTCATTACTTGAAGTCTGTTCTCCTAAAATTATAATCAATATTAAGATTACAAATTATAGACATAGGTCGTTCGAAAAAATCTGGATACTAACAGAGAATTTTGAGTTTCATCAAGTATAATAGCACCAGTGCGTCACCTCTGCTTCGCAGAGGTTCGCACTGGCTCTATTATCTATGTGCCTTACTCATTCTCGTAAAATCGTGGCACTGGAATTCACCGCGCTATGCCGACTACCACGAATAAAATGTAAACAATCACTCATTTAGAAAGTCTTTTCACGTGAGATCGGTGATTTCGCGTGGATGAAACTTTTCGCAGGAGGACAAACGCAAATTTGAATAGGTTTTTGGATTTGTCATGGCTTGGTAGTCGCCATAAAGGTAATAGTAACCGTGAGGTACATCTCTGTGCGAAAATCTTCTCAAACGCTTAGCTAGAACCTTGGCAAATTGACCATTTACCAATCAATTCATTTTGGCTCCGTTTTCGTTATGTAGTAAACTTTCGACCACTTTTCTGGCTAAACTCCATCGCTTGCACATTTGCTTACCAACTCATCCACGACTCTGCAAAAAGTGGTGATACGGACCGAATTTTGCGGTACAGAAGCCAGGTGGATCCGTTTGGCGCGCAATTTCTGAGGGATCCACTCAACCAATCTACTCGTGCTTTTGCATGTTGGACTTTCATGAAGATAGCATGCGCTATACAAAATTTGGGCTTAGAACGCTGGCTGGAACAAGTTCCACGAATTTCGTAACAGACACACACATACATACAAAGTCACGTAAACATCCTTAGCCCGTTATTATAAGTCATGATATCAAAATAGGGTGAGATAGGAGAAGGATGAGTCGTTGGATCATGGTCTATCTCCATGTTTAAGAATCTTTAGGATACTTTAGGACCAGGCACCTCACAGGCAAGCCTAACGCCTTTCCACGTGTCTTGACATGCGAGGTCCTGATTCTGTGGATCCAATAAGATATAGCAGCAACTTCAAAACAGTGGTGCCGTAGTCTAGTGAAGTGGTAGGCACTACGAGACGCGCAACCGAAGTTCGACTCCCGACCTAGTCGGGTTTTGCGATGAAGCGCGTGGTAGCTCCTCCCAACAACCATAGCGGCTCCGCAAGTAGCAGAACGAAACGCCGAGTTTCAGAAACGAAACTCGGAATTAACTCTGAGCTTCAAAACGAAACTTAGAAGTCAACTCTGAGTTAACCGCAGCTTTAAACTCGGAGTTTCGACCAGATTACTACCAGCCCAGATCTCTAAGCACAAGAACTGTAACGCAAGAGGCGCTAGTGCGATTTTACCTCGCTTCAACCACGGAGGCGCTCATAGCTATTTGACGCACGAATCTTACCGTAAAATCGTAAATGTACTATAAAAACCAACAAATCTAACTGATTATGCATGTTTAGTACATGTTTGATTGGCTGTAATAAGTGAGCAGTTGGAACAATGGGATGACTCAAGTAAAGATCGAAATTTCGCATAACGCAAGATGCGAAAATTAACCACTTATGCAATATTTTTTGCTCTTAAAGTTGGTTGGCTCACGGACAATTGACCTTTGAAGCCAATATCAGCTGATGCCAAAGTCATCACCGCTATGTTCTACTTCTCTAAATCTACCGAGATTCTTGCTTACTTTTACTTTTACGCTTAATGGTCATCAGGTCCCCGATTTGAA